CCGTGAACACGCGGCAGAGGTGAGCTGCAAGTGCTGGTGTAGCGCCAGGGACACATCTCTGCGGGGCCGATCGATTGATGGCTCATCTCGATCTGCCGCCTCACGGCAGGGGTCTCCTCTCTGCGGTCAGACTTGCTTCAAACGCAAGCGGGGAGAAATGGGAGACCCTCCGCGGATGTGTCACTCGTTCTTGCCAGTATTTTCGGTTCATCTCTGTCTCGTGGTTCACGTAAGACACTATGGACTACCCTTTGACCCATGGAAGGCGAGGTTCGCTTGCCGAAAAATACTGATCCCCTTTTTTCACAGAAAGTTCTTCTAACTTTCTTTGCTTATTGACAGAAAGTTCTTCTAACTTTCTTTTCTTTTAGTAGAAAGTTCTTCTAACTTTCTTCTCTTCCCCTTTGCTTTTTGACTTCGTCATAGATTATTTGAGTGCAATATTAGAATAAGAGGTACCTTGCGTTAAGCGTGTGTGTGTGATCCCATGGGATTAGTATTAAGTTAATGTATGCGTGCGTGTGTGATACAAGTTCTTTGCAAATTTGTGGTAAAGAACTTGTATGCGAGCCTATGAGCTAAGTAGAGTCAGAACTCATTTATCCTTCTGATAAATGATGTTGCATTTGGAGGGTGGATGGGATTTGGAGTTAGGGTGGGTCACTATCGTAGCCACCTCCACGTGGTGTGACCTGGTAATTGGTATAGTTTTCTGAAGGATTCAAAAAATCTTCAGAGAACTATACCGAGCTAAGAGCTACGATTAGAATTTAATTTAGAATTAGAATTTAGAATTTAAGAGCTACGATTGTAATTTTACTTATAATATATGTATATATAGTTGTATAGATTTATACAGTCATACATATAACTAACCTAACCCAGCCTAATGTAATCTAACCCAACCTATACATTCATAGTTTACAATGCAATTATAAGAATTTTTGAAAAATTATGTGGGATCATTAAGGTGCCCTACTCAGTCACCACTGCGTGTACCGGCTAGGTACGGCATTGGCAGCAAGCTGTGACGTCAGCTAACGCATGCGCATAAAGCTCTCGCGTGAGATAAAATCTCACGACTGCCCAACACTGGCACTGTTGCATCAGTGCACTGTTTTCAAAGGAGACGCGCCAATGTACAAATGAAGCTTCCAAAATATTTTTAACTTATTAAATGAATTACTTGACAGTAAACTATTATTCATTTTTGCTACAAAATGAACCAGCTTGTTTTTAAAACTGTGCAATTATGTAAGAACATTTTATTACTTAAAATTCAATACCCTTTTTTGGTCATATAACAAGTGATAAAGATTTTTGCCACTTACTTGTTTTTCCTGAAGAAAGTTGCACTCCAGTATAAAGAGTAGAAACATTTCAATAGTCGACAAGGAAACTATTTTATGGAGAGAGAAAAAAAACACAATCAATTTAAAGAAACATTTTTCAAACATCAAAGGTACCGCCTGAAGTATCCTTACTCTTTGGTTTTGCAGTGGATAGGAACCTTTCCTTTTTGATTATTAATTTCCCCAAAGAAACCAGATTTGCACTTCACTAAAGAAACCAGATTTGCATTTCACCAAAGAAACCAGATTTGCATTTCCCCAAAGAAACCAGAATGTACGCGCACACTATTCTGCGCTTACTGCCCTCTTTTATAAAAATTGGTACCAATTCGCAGGTCGCACAATTTAGTATACGTACAATCTAGTATAAGTCTATGGTTCTTCTGGCTAATCATATATTTTTCTCCACTATGTATATGGCCACGAAATTAGAAATATACCATAGAAGGGTACTACTGGTAGTGAGAACGATTCGAGCTGTGCAACTAAGAATGCTCTCTCGTAAAATAATATACATATTTTAACAGTATTTAATTGGATAAAAATGTAAAAATTTTTTGATATAATAAAAATATAAGTATTTATTGTTCTTGCTTATTTCATAGCGTACCATTTAAAAAAGATAACTTTGCATCGGGTCTACATTAATCGATTATTTTCGGAACGCCATTTTCATTATTGCCCATCGCGCGATTAAATGTTACCTAGCGTAAGGTATAGCGTTGAAATAAAGTGAAGATTTTGTATAATCCTGGAATCAAGACGTTATAAAGGAAATTTGTGAAAGTAAATCCATATTACGATATATGCACATATGCACTTTTGTACATATCGGTAAAAGATTTATTTTTATGAACCTACGAATTAGATAAAACGATTATGAAGAACCGAAAGGGTACAACGATAGCAGAGTATTTGATAAAAGATTTGGTTTAGTTCCATTCATTGATTAACTTTCTGTATGCGTCAGTTGCGTCACAAATCAGTTATCAATATTGCATGTAATGTCGGTAATGTTTTAATCCAAGTGTCATTTGTCTCGAAAGTCAAGAGCAGAAAATTCTTATTTGAAGGTCGACAATAAAATGGGTAAGTGTTTTCTTTATGTTTAAATATTTTCCGTAAATCATTGTCGAATATTTAATATTAATAAAATTATGTATGCCACTATTTGGTTATAAAAGTCTATTTTGTTTAAAGTAATTAATCTAAAGTATTAATATCATTAATTAAAATGTTATAGAAAATTCTGAAGTCACAATTGAAGGAGAAAACTATGAAGTAGTTGATGAATGTGTCGAAGAAGAAGATACAACTAATGCTGCGCAGAATAAGTCTATGGATAACTCTACTAATATGAACAAGCAATGTTCGAATGATATGGTTCCTGAAAATAGTACAGAAAATAAAAATATAGAGCAAAATAATGAAGCAATACCAATGGATTCTGTAAACGATTCAGTACCAGATAATTCAAATATTAATAGTAGCATCGAAGATAATAAGAGTAACATCAAAAATGATGAGAGTAACATTGGAAATGATAAAACTAACATCGAAAATGATCAGAGTAACATAGAAAATATTGAGAACACCAATAAAAATGAACAAAGCAACGTTGGAAATGAACAGAGTAACGCTGAAAATGAACAGAGTAACGCTGAAAATGAACAGAGTAACGCTGAAAATGAACAGAGTAACACTGAAAATGAACATAATAACATTATAAACGATCAAAATAAGATTGAAAATGATACAGAGCAATCAAATGTAGAAAATGAACATCCACAACAATCAAATGCAGAATCAATTGATTTTACTGCTGATATAAATTTAGATCAGCTAGAAGAACAAAAAGATGTAACAGACGAAGATGTTTTACGTAATTTGGATGAAATTGAAAATATAGATTTGACTTCTGATGTTCAAGTAATAAAGCAAAATGATCAGACACAGGAGAATAGAATATCTAACTCGGAAATAAAGAAGATTGGTGCAAAAAATGAAAGAGTTGAAAAGAGTAATATTAATCAGCAGATACCTGATAACAATAATGAAAATAATAAATCAATAGCAGTAGAAGAAGGAGAATGTGTGAAATATGAATGGTATGAAAAGAAGGTAATATAAATATTAGTATAACATATATTTTATCATATATACAAACCATTATTACATATGTAATAAAATCGGTTATTATATACATATTCATATGTAGTATTTCAATTTCAAAAATGATTACAGCTCGCTGAGAAAGAGGCAATTATAAAGGAACGATTATCAAAGGTTGCTAGAGTTTTAGCAATTTCTTATCCATGCTATGAACATTGGTTAGAATGGGAAGAGAAAATGAACGGTTCTCCTTTATGCAAGTTAAAACCAGCTCGACGTTGTCGTTTGGACAAACCATATACTAATCGTTGGAAGTTTATTTGTAAGTAATCATGATGAAATGTTTGAGAAGTATGAAATTTATAATTTACTATTTCAATTTTTTAATTAATATTAGTAGTGTTTAAAACTATATAATTAAGTCAATAGTATATGTCTAGGTACTAAAAAAAATGTACAAAATCCTACAAAAATGACAAGTGATGCTGATAGTGATGGTGATAATAAAAACGCAGAATTTATGTGGAAATTGGAACCAGGCAATACCTGTGGTGTTAATATAAATAATGAAGTAGAACTTCCACCTTTTGTCTTATCTGCTGTAAAGGTATGCTTCGATGTTCTTCTATTGCATAATGCAGTATCATCTTAAATCTTAATACTAGATACATATAATAACATTTGTTTTATATTTCTATAGGTATTTGAAGACTTTCTTCAAACAACAGAACAATTACTTCCACAGAATTCTAAAAATGAAAGTTTTTCTGATGATATACCTATGGATGCATCACCGAAAAAGGAAGTAACCACTGATGGAAGACAGGAATGGTTGTGGTTACTAGTACGTTGTAATAGCATGGATGAGCTTATGTTATTTGCAACTGGAAAAAACATCAGTTGCTCGACGATGAATCGTTTAAAACAGATTTATGAATCTGGACCTGGAAAGGATTGCAATGTGAAATCTCTTTATTGCAAGACTATAAATAAGTAAGAATGTCTTGTAAAATCCATAATATACAAATTACATAATTTACAGCTGATATTTACATCACATGAATATTATTGAGGAACTATATTTTTTCTTAATTTCAGATGTAATGATACTGTTGTTACAGACACAACATTTTTGGTAGGTTCAGAAGCTTTAGATGAAACTGTGGGTGGATTAAAAATACAGCTTGCACCCAAAACAAATTTTTGGTCAAATACTGCAGGAGCAGAAAATATAGCAAACGCAGTAATCGAATTACTTGGTCCCACTCCAAAAACAACTGTATTTGAAATAGGATGTGGTATTGGTCTTATTGGACTCATGATGGCTTCTGTGAGTAAAAAAATACATTTCCACTAAAAGTTACTATATTTTTGTTATATTTTCAAAATTGTAATATTCTTATATTACCCTGATACAGAAATGCCAACAAGTTATAGGAGTAGATTCTCCGTCTGAAGTAGAAGAAGCGGAAATGACATGTGAGTTAAATAACATAAAAAATGCTTCGTTTATTATGGGAGCGCCTAACCAAATCGCAGGTAAAATTGCCATAGCAGCAAAAAATCGGAGAACAGGTGCAATAATTAATGCAAACACTAATATCGGACGAGGTATGTGTATTATTTATAAGCTAGCTTTGATTCTTTATTATTAAAAAAATTTAATAATAAAGAATTTATAAGAACTTTTCATATTTATATTTAATATTTGATATTTTATATTCTTATAAATTATAAAATACGTATATATGTTTTTATTTATACTTTCTAGCTATTGAAATAATGGCATGTCTCAGAAAAATTCCATCTCTTAAACGAATAGTGATGATAACTACATTAACTAAGCAATCAGTACGTGCTATATTAGAATTAGCACGGCCTGTAGACAATAGCAGTCGCGGACCGCCGTTTATTCCTGTTTTGGCGCGCGTAGTTGATACTTTACCTGTTGGTCCTCATTTTGAAGCAGTTATCATGTTGCAACGACGAACAATAAAAATGAATCTAAATTGGTACCAAAAAAGTATAGAAGCAACAGATAGTAAAAATAATCAAGAACAAGCACACGAACAAAGTACAAACGGAGCAAATAAAAGACTACCAGTTAAAGATGTTAAACCACAAGTTAAAAAGAATTTTAATAAACCAATAGTAAAACATGCCCCGAAAAAGTCAAAGGCTGCATTAAGGAGAACGCTTTATACAAAAAATGCTGATAATTTAACAAAAAATATTTTCAAAGGAAAACGTTCACATTCCCCTGACAAAGGAGAAGCACCACCAAAGAAGCTGATGAAGAAATTTAACAAATCTGGGATTAAAGGTAAGCTTTAAGAAATATTAAGGATATAATGATTACAAATATTTACTACTAATTATTAATTTTATTTTCTAATTTTACTAAATTGTTTAAAATAGATTTACCTGCTAAAAGGAAGAAAGAATGGATAACAGAAAATCCACAGCTGCGCATCAATCCTACATATGAAAGAAAGATGCGAGAACCCAAAGAGCAACCTGATTTGAGAGAAAGATTATCTAATAATAGATTAGATACAGACATTGCTCAAACAGTGAAAGAGCATCAAGCACTTTTAGAAATAGCAAAAGAAAAATTAAGTGGACCAGCTCCAACTGTCGATGTAAATACCGCTAAACAGTTGCAAAATATGTTAAATATGGTTTTAGAACAAACAAATAAACTCCAGAGTCAACTTCCACGTTCCGTTTGGGATCGTATCGCACCACCAGAAAATGTAAATTCAGGTGAAAGAGAAAGTACAGATGATCTTCTTTTAAAAGGTCGATACATTCAAGAAATGGGTTCCCAAGATATTTTAATTACTGCGACAAATAAGAAATTTTTAAATAACGAAGAGTCTACTATGAAACCAGGGTATAAAAAATATAATAATTTACCACCATTAGAACCAAATACAATAATGCCAGTATCGCAAGCAATTGAGCACAGAGAAGAAAGACAGTTTCGTGTAACACCAGACCGATATGAAATTAGCATGCAGCCGCAACAGACTCAAGACATTTTTAATAGAAACCGTTGGAATGAAATGGGAAATGTAAAGAAACCAATGTCACCAATGAGAAGACAAATATCCCCGATAATACATCGGTTGACTCCACCAAAAAGACTTTCTCCTAAACGACCATTGTTGTCTCCTCCAAGACGTCCATGTTCTCCTCCCAGACGACACTTCTCTCCCCTTCGCCGTCCTCCATCACCAATTTATAGACAACGTTCTCCTGTAAGATGTGAGATATCTCCTCTAAGACGACCATTATCACCTCCACGACGAACTGATATGCCTCTAAATCGTCCAATGTCGCCATTAAGACGTCAGATATCGCCACCGCGGCAACAAATATCTCCTATGAGATCAACTATGTCTCCTAGAAGACAACCATCACCAATGAGACGACCAGTATCACCTCCTAGGAGACAGATTCCTTCTCCTAATCGAATGATGTCTGGTAGACAAGAAATGTTACTTTCTAGGCGTCAAGTAATACTACAAGATAGACAACAAACATCCACGATGAGACGTGAAGAATCATCGAAGGCATTCATGCCGGAACCTTCTCCATCGCTATCGAAAAGACCACAATCCCCTCAAAGACGTCAAATGTCTCCACAGCCATTTACCGATGATTGGGATATACCAAGTAGAGGAGCAATTGAACAAGGTACTTGGTTCCGCCCTACTGAAAGAGTATCAGAACAAAATGTCTGGCGAAATGACAAAAATTTAGCATCTAATAGTAATTGGGAACAAGCTGCGTGTAATGATAGACAAAGAAAATCTTTTAGTCAAGAAAAGTGGGATACTAAAGAGTCTGTTCGTAGTGATTCATGGAATAGTAGTGGAAATAACTGGAACTCTAAACAGTTACCTACAAAACCTATGATGAAAGAAACATGGTCGTCAAGTTTTGATAATAAATGGACAAGCACACCGAATATGCCTGGAACTAGTAACGAGAATTGGAATATTCGTGGAAAAGAAACTTTTACTACATACAAAGAGCCATGGATGGACAGTAAAAAACAAAGTAGATGGGAACCGGTAAATGTTAAGGACTCTTGGAAAAATTCTGACAAAGAGGATTTGAATGATTTACCAGAAGATGCGAAAGATCCTTGGGGTGATGATGGCACTTCAGATTTTAAAGACAGGTGGTCGAAATTTGAAAATACTCCATCATCATCCACGTGGACAAGAGAAAATGAACAACAGGGAGATATGTGGTCAAAAAATAAAGCCAATTGGCAGAACAAAGGATCAAATTTTCCTACGAAATCTCAGTGGCAAAATAGTAACGTTCAAAATGTTGGAAAATCACGTTGGCTTTCTCAAAATGATACGGAAAAAAAGGCAGCATCAAGTGGTTCTTGGAAAAGTGGGAACAATGTAGGATCTTGGCAATTTCAAAATTCAAATTTTCAATCACAACGCCCTTTTCCTACTTCTCAGTTTAAAAGTTCATATTAAAATTGGTGTTCGATAAATTAATAATGTTACTTGAACTTTTTTTCAGATATTCTTATCATTATATCACTTTATTACATGGATCACAAAGGGGAAATTATAGTTTTTATGTTTCAGTATCAATTCAAAATATATTTAAGTCGAATGGAATAAATAATTACCCGATTAAAGTTTAAAATACTTATAAACTTACTATATTTATTATGATAGTTTGTGTTTTAAGTTGATGCAAGTGAAAAGTGATTCTGTTTTTTTTTCTTTTTTTGAGTTACTGTTTTGTTGTTTTAACATTGAGAATAACATAATTGTCATTGTTATTATCATTATTACATAATGAATACAGAATTTATAATTTAATGTGTTTACTACAAAGTCTAGGTAATGGTGTTTTCTGTATATCTCCTTTGAGACTATGTAAAAAGTAAGTTTATATTGTACTTTTTAAATAAAATTGCATTTATATAAAAGTATAATTGACTTAATTATATTTATATAAATATTTTCATTAAAATTTTGATTAGACATCACAGCAGTAGTTTTATATGTTATCATCAATTTAATATCAAATTTTAATTATTATTAATACATTGCTTAGATGTTTTAATTTATAAACTATTGAATATTATCAGTGCATTGATATATAAGAAAATAAAAGATGTAATTTAGACATTTATTTGAATTTATAAATAAATATTTACCTAACTTTGATTTATTAAATTTTGCAGATGAAAATGCGAAAATAACATGAAATTAGTAGTAATCACATGACTATATTAATGAATCTTATTATATTACAACAGTATTAAATAATAAATTTAAAAATGTTATGCTGTATCTAAGTCTTTATTAATTACCATTTGTTTGATTTAATTTTATTGCTTATTTTTAAACAATATTATTGATAAATATACTCATGTCTCTAAGTGTATTATTTACAATTCCATCGTCCTATTGTACCTATTTGTATACGTATATATTTACTTATGTTATAGCAAATTTTAATTCGGTAAAAAGTGTACAAGTGTTCATCAAGTTGTACAATTGATAAATGTATGCATATGCTTACGTTACTTTCCACTTCATCGTCACATACACCGTGAATAAAATATTTAAATAGTGGAAATAATGTAAGAAACATACAAAGTAATAGATCACTGGGTATGTACGCTATTACTAAAAATGTAAAAGCACATGCGTGATACTTTCCGGACCAACCAGAGCCAACATGCGCAGAATGAATGAAAGTCAACAAATTTGTTGATTTGAACATACGAATTTCTTAGGTTAAATCTATATGTATATAACTTTTTATTATTTTTAATGTATTAAACTCTACACTTTATTGATGTTTGTATAAATAACTGTAAGAAATGTTTCGTTCAAAGGTACGTTGACTAGTACATTAATTAATGTACAGAAATGTTCCATTTATATTCATGTAAAATAGGTTAGAATTGATTTCAATAATATCAATTTTCTGTGTAGATATTTTCTATTTTACAAAATACGATACACAGAAATTTATATAATAATGGACATCCTGGTAAATGCGCATTGTTTTCGTCAAATACTTCGGATACAACTTTAACAGAATCATCAAAAGAGGCTATAAATACAGACATAAATGTAGCTTCAGTAGAAAATTCAACAGAAACTTTAACAGATACCTCGAGTCAAATACCAACTAATATTTCAACAGAAGCTTCAACAGAAATCACAACTACATATGAAGATACAGTTCAAGCATCATTCACAAATACATCCTCTGTTGAAAAGGTATAGAATGCTTTTATAACATAAACATAAGAAAGCCCTTATCTTTGTTGTATGTTATAATGTTGTTAATATATTTTTGTTTCAAAGTCTAGATATTAATAAATATAATCGTTAATTTTATTTTAAACACATTTTATATGTTTAATTTAATTTGGCAAAGAATAGATGAAGAAATATTTCTCTAAAGATATTTATAATGCAAATACAACATTCTTTATTATAGTATCAACCAGATAAACTGTATAAGAAAATAGAAATAGAAGTAAGGGGACATGATCCTGCTGTATTAAAAAGTTATGTAACTTTTACTACTATGGCAGCAAGACATTTAGAACTTGATGTTAGCAATATGTAAGTTACATTTAAAAACATTTTAATTTATAAGTAAACTAATCTATATATATATATATATATATATATATATATATATATATATATATATATATATATATATATATATATATATATATATATATATATATATATATATATATATATATATATATATATATATATATATATATATATATATATATATATATATATATATATATATATATATATATATATATATATATATATATATATATATATATATATATATATATATATATATATATATATATATATATATATATATATATATATATATATATATATATATATATATATATATATATATATATATATATATATATATATATATATATATATATATATATATATATATATATATATATATATATATATATAGATTAGTTTACTTATAAATTAAAATGTTTTTAAATGTAACTTACATATTGCTAACATCAAGTTCTAAATGTCTTGCTGCCATAGTAGTAAAAGTTACATAACTTTTTAATACAGCAGGATCATGTCCCCTTACTTCTATTTCTATTTTCTTATACAGTTTATCTGGTTGATACTATAATAAAGAATGTTGTATTTGCATTATAAATATCTTTAGAGAAATATTTCTTCATCTATTCTTTGCCAAATTAAATTAAACATATAAAATGTGTTTAAAATAAAATTAACGATTATATTTATTAATATCTAGACTTTGAAACAAAAATATATTAACAACATTATAACATACAACAAAGATAAGGGCTTTCTTATGTTTATGTTATAAAAGCATTCTATACCTTTTCAACAGAGGATGTATTTGTGAATGATGCTTGAACTGTATCTTCATATGTAGTTGTGATTTCTGTTGAAGCTTCTGTTGAAATATTAGTTGGTATTTGACTCGAGGTATCTGTTAAAGTTTCTGTTGAATTTTCTACTGAAGCTACATTTATGTCTGTATTTATAGCCTCTTTTGATGATTCTGTTAAAGTTGTATCCGAAGTATTTGACGAAAACAATGCGCATTTACCAGGATGTCCATTATTATATAAATTTCTGTGTATCGTATTTTGTAAAATAGAAAATATCTACACAGAAAATTGATATTATTGAAATCAATTCTAACCTATTTTACATGAATATAAATGGAACATTTCTGTACATTAATTAATGTACTAGTCAACGTACCTTTGAACGAAACATTTCTTACAGTTATTTATACAAACATCAATTATATATATATATATATATATAACAATATAATATTACAATTTAACAGAGTCTCACCAAGAAAACCTGTTCACGAAAGATTGACATTGCTTAAGTCTGTTCATGTTCACAAGAAACATCGTGTACAATATGAAACAAGAACATATTATAAATATTTTGAGCTTTTCAAATTAACAGGTTCAACAGCAGATACTTACTTAGAATATATAGAAAGAAATCTTCCAGAAGGAGTTGCAATGAAAGTTACAAAGGTATTATTGAAACTCTTTATTTTTCAATGTTAAAAAAGTATAACGAATTGACAGTTACCTTTTATAGGTGGAATTAAATAATTTACCAGAAACGGTTCAACAAGCATGATGGTTACAATAACAAATGTAGTTTGTTATATTACCTTAAGTTTTATGAATAGTAAAATAATTTATACAAAATTGGTCTAAATTTAATGTTTCCTTTATGAGAGTTATCACTAATATGTGTAGAAACCAGAATATGCTACTGTACATACCACTCTATATTATATTATTTATAAAATTACAGTAATTTAAACACATTTAGATCACTGCTTTGATGATAATATTTTGAGATAAATTTCTAATTTTGCTTATTTTTGTCCTAGTCCTGGTAAAACACTTTCTATTGTGAACTTTAAATTGACTTTATGTTCCATCTCTTTAACCATACATTTTCTATATTTTTTTCAGTAATTTTTATCATATTTTTATGTTTCATTTTATTAGCATGTGAATGACTATTATTTAATTCTAGAAACTAGAATTTCTTTTTTGCATTTTAAATGTAGTATATGCCTTTTGAAGTAAATTTTCATTACGCTTATTTAAATTTATGTTTGGTTCTTCATTTTGATGCTTTCTGTTTAACTGAACAGTAGCTATACACCTGTATAGTATGAATTCATGCCCTATAAATGCATGAATAATAAACAAAAACTACATACACATTTCTTATACATATGACCATTTTAAATATTCATTTTTTATGTTATTTACTTACGAGGTTGTTCGGATTGATAATATGTATCAATATGTAATCCACGGGTTGAATAAATTAAGGTTATAATAAGAAGAATAATTAGTCCCTTTGTCATTTGAAATAGTATATGAGTACTTTATATCTGTTTTACAACGTCTGAAAATTTTTTCATGAGGAATTTATAAACGTCTGAAATTTTGAAGAACAAAAAAAACAATCATTAAATCATCATAAAGAACATGTAAAATTCGTAATAGTAATATTCAATAATTAAAATGATAAATATATCATTACCTTAGTTAAAACTTTCACGTTAGATTGAAGTGCATAATTATTAACTGAATTTTCAAATTTTCACGTGTAACACTGTGAAATAAATGGTAGCAGCTGTTCTTTTCTTTTATTCTTTTTAACATCTTTCAAGACAAACCGGTTTAACGGAGGCGTCAAGTTAGACGAGTATGCATTTAGAATATTTTTCATAATATTTCCTATACTATTTGTCCATGATTGTTAAAATACATTTCATATAAAGTGCTATAAATTGGAAATATATTTTACAGGATTACATACATGCTACTTATGGTATTCATTTTAAATAAAAATAAACTATTTAATAAGACTCTAATCGTTTGATTTATAAATGATATTAATAATTTAAACTTGTTTGCATTGCAATCGCTGAAAAATTATAAGCCAGTAGTAAACATTTCATTTTTGTCAATTATTTCATTATTCATTTATTGATTCTAACATTTCCATTTATATAAATACAATTTTTAGGACGACCAGACACGAATATAATCAATCTGGAAGGTAGCCATTTTACCATTTTCTCGCTTCAAACTCGGCAACCATTGATTTCTTGCACGCCAAAATTGTAGCATTGCCTGAAATGTGTAAAACATAAATTTATTTATTTATAAAATATTCAAATCTTTTGGACATTCGTTACACATGAATTTGAACATTCGTGACGTATTTTACAAAAAAGTAAAAAATGCTGTTACCTTCGCCGCGCTATTGGACCATGGTTTTGCATTTCCTGCATTAGTTGTTCCATCAGGAAAAAATCGAATACCACCAACACCAACGCCAATACTTATATAAAACTAGATCATGAAAGTAAAAAATCAATTAAACATTATACATTTATTAAATTATCATCAATTTTACCTCTTGATCAAATGGAGCAATTTTGTTAACATCATTAACTTGCTCCCATCCATTCATTCCAGGACTTAGTGTACCAACATTTTCACCGTCTACCAGAAACTGAAACCCATCATTATTCCAAATGGTTGTATAAACATGAAACTCTTTCGTCCATCTTTCACCATCCTCCCTTATTTTCGAAATCATGTGCTTAGCAATGTGATTTGTAGTTCCTGCCATAATTCCTAAGTCTAATCTTCTTGAATCAAAAACGTCATTATTAGCGACGTTTATTAAATTATCATTTCCACGTGCAAGGCCGAGAATAACGCGTCCACTGGAATATCCGGGGCCATAGTTGTTGTATTTTGGCTCCAGCCACATTTCTGTTATATACAAAAAAACATTTAAATTGAGTCACCACAATATATTATTATTATATTCAAGGGTAAAATATTTGTTTACAAAAATTATTTCGTACACAATAGTTCGGGTATGATTGTAAAAATGCCGCTGAAGAGTTGTCTGCTTAATTTTTTGGTAGAACAAATTATTTTATATATAGTAATAATAATTTTATTGTAGTTTTATCGTGTTATTATAGCCAATAAAATTATTGTACTCATATATCCTTACATACAGTGAACACAATTTAGATATACTTTTTAGATTGATGTAAATTTTTGTTTACAAGCATTTAATAATATTCAAGTATTCACCTGGATATAGCCAGTCGCCCTCAGGAAATTTTGCTCGTATCTCAATTTTGCCGTATCGGAAATAAAAACTGTTCTTTGTTGTTAATCTGGCAGATATAAGTGGCGGTAAAATATTAAATGCTACGGCTTGTCGCATACACTCCTTTGGAAAGATACTCGTACAACTACATATGTAAAATAAAAATGATTGAAATTGTTAAAGTAATAGTGTTATACTAATGCCTTGAGCGGTTTATAAATTTGACGAAAACATTGAATAAACATATTTTTTGATCAAAGAATGAGAGCAAATGATATTGAATGTTCGAAATATTGTTCAAATCGCTTCTTTAAAAATGATTGAACAAATCCACGATATGGTGATAAGTAACGAAAGATTAAAAACGTGTAAAATTGTTGAAGATATAAAAACGACTTGAACAACTACATATATAATATTTTATAATAGAATTTGCAGATAATAAGATTGTCGACAATTTTTGTAGAACGACCATCATATTTTCAAGCCCATTTCATTATTTTCTATATGTATGCCACAATTTTCATACTTCATCTAAAAAACATAAAACGATCTGAAAATTTAATATAAATTTACCCGCTAAGTTGTAGCGTTCCAAATGCCGTTGCATTTTCACCATAAAGATCTTCCAAAACCACTGGTTTTATTCGTAATACTCCATCTTCAATTACGGTTAAAAAGTCGTGTTGATCATTGTGATATACACAGAATTCATAGTCCTATATAAAATATATACATATCAATAGTCATCAATGTTACATTCGAAATCCAAAAAAGGAGAAACATGAATAAAATTCTATTGTATTCAAACATTTTTTATGTATGTTCATGACTCACAGGGCTCAACGGCATTTTAACATCGTGACTCCAAATGGATGTATTTAGAGAATCAAAGTTATCCTCAAACAATAGTGTGCTAGATGAATCGTTGGGTTTTTCTGTGCTGGGACTTTCTTGTGTTTCTGCTGTAATTGTATAAAATACCTCTGCGTTATTTAAAATTATTTCTCAGAATTTTTAAGTCAGAGATATTATAAATTTTATAGAGATTTTATAAATTTTTATATAATTTATTATAAGAAGAGTTATTGTAGAGTACATACATGTAACTGTCCATTTTATATTTCCTTTTTGGTAAGGAGTCCCATTAACTAACACGTGAATCCAGTAATGTATAACATCTCCATCTCTTAAACTTATATCTTCATCCTCAATCGTCCATTTTCCATCATTTTTTCTAAATACTTCACCAGATATTTGTCCTGACTGAGTAACTTGAATTCGTTTATTTATATTTCCTTGAAACGCAAAGAACTGTATTCCTGGTTCATCTAATATTAGAATGAGAAATAAAATATTTTATTGTAGGACAATAAACTTGTGATAAAATGTGAAGGAAAAGGACGGGTACAGTTCTAAAATATTTTATACAAATCTTATTTTAAAATGAATGTACGAAAATACGTATTTTCTATATTTACATATATGATATTTTCTTTAGAAATAAATATGATATTTACAGAAATAAGTAATAAGTTGTTTTGAAAAACACAACTCAATAAAAAAAATTGTCCATTGCGCGAAACGATCATTTTGTATAGAGTTTAATTAACTGATTGAAATTTATATTCTCAAGAATTAAGAATATTTAAATTCGCCCGCGAAGTTTGAAATACATTGATGCGCATGCACACGGTTACACATGGCGCCATTCTACCAATCTTACGAGGTGTAATTATTTGTAAGGAAAGTTTGTTGAGTAAGACTGGTCTTCTCGGGGAATCACAAATGAAATAAAAAACTAAAAATAGCAATCTATAAACGTATCAAGTAATATTTTTTCAAAAACCAATTATTTAATATTAAAAATAAATAATGGCACTCATAAAGTACCACTATCAACTTCTGTCATTTTTATTTTCTTTCATTACAATAATAACATCGAGTTCGGAAATTGATAATTCCTTCTTGTTTTGAACAATTCATTCTTTCATTTCAATAATAATAATTAATAATAATTTATATGAAGATTCATTAATTACAGAAAAAAGTTCCAATAAAAAATCTTTAATTCAATTTCGCACTAATTTCTTATGTGACTAATATACAGTATGTAAAATAAGGTATAAATAAAAGCAACTAACAATTAAATTTTGTAGATAATTATTTTTACTCACCAGGTATTGAAATTTGAATTCCTTGTGGTTGTAAAATTTTGAATGTTGGTTCAGGTAAAACATACGAATTTACCAACGTGATAACATTTTCGAACGTTAAAACAAATATCATGGAAATTAAAATGGATTTAACACTGTAGCTGAACATGTTTATTAAGATTGACAGTTTGTCCGATAAAGTAGGAAGTTATCTATGACGACACATAAGGTCGTCGATGAGAAACGAAAAAATAATTGTTCGCGTATAAAATCGCCAATACTACTGATTTAACTATACGAGGGAGTATAATTCTGATTGCTTATAAAACTCTTTAAATCCCCACCTTTTTAACTGTGAATCAGAGTTTCGCCAAAGAAAATATACCATTTGTATAAATGGTTCTTTTATTTGTATTTAAGTTTCAATCAAATTAAATTTGTTAATATTAAGGAATGTGATGCTATTGTCTAACACAGTTTGATAAACTTTAAAAATATTAATTCTTAAAACTGAAAATATATTGTTTCGTTTAGAATTGCATTTTCCGCCAAATATAATGTCACAATAATAGCGCTGATAGCGCTCTCAAAATATGGCGGAGGTTATTTCTATTGTAATGTCTTTCCAGCCTTTTGTTTGATCGATATATAATATATAAAAAGTCCGTATCATGTTACTAACTATAAATGTAATAAGAAATGGACTTTCCAAAGCCCAGTTGTATGCTTCAAAGTTGAACAAAATTAACAAATGTGTAATACAACAGACTGGTATTCAATGTAGAAGAAATATAGGTTATGCTGTAACCTATCATAATATTTATTCAAATAATGATTTGACAGTGATAAACTATAAATTAATATCGAATTTTAGTTCAGATAGTAGCACGCATCCTCAATCTGAACTGTAAGTAAATATTATGGAAGATTGGTCTAGTTTTCTCTTAAGTTTTATGTTTATAAGATTAGCTTAAGATTTGAGATTTTCAGTATTTGTGAAAAAATTATTTTTTATCATTGTAGAGAACTTTCGCCTGTGCAGTTTGAGAAAGTTTCTGATGAAACTCTTGAATCTTTGACTGAGTATTTTGATGAACTAATAGAGAAAGCGGCTCATTTACAGGATGCAGATATATCATATGGAGTATGTTTTTGTATAATAATTCATATTACTTATGATAAATTAAATTATGACTTTTAAACATAAAATATATTAATTTTATAGGATGGTGTATTGACTATCAAGTTTGGTAGTAAATACGGTACTTATGTCATAAATCGCCAAACACCAAATAAACAAATTTGGTTGTCTTCTCCAAAGTCTGGTCCAAAAAGATATGACTTCGTAAATGGTAAATGGATTTATAAACATGATGGAAAGTCATTACATGAGTTACTGAACAATGAAATACCAGCAATTATAAGGGATCAAACAAACTTTAATAAATGTTCCTTTAGTGGAAAAGAGAGGGAAGCCGCAATGAAGACTCTTTAATCACACATTTGGCGCTAAAAGTTATAAACTTTATTAGAACAATCAGATGTACTCTATTGAAAATAGAAAGTTTCATATTTCATGTATATATTTGAACAAATTATAACTTTAAGTAATATATAGTAATATTGATGTGAGTATTTATATTTTTGTAAAATATTCACACGATTAAATATTTGCATGATAGAGTGGCACATGATGTAGAATTTTTAATTTTCATAGTGTACTTTGAATTTTATGATTAAAATAATATATTTATAAATATAATAATATAAAAACCGCAAAGACATAAATCACACATGCATAGTCAATTTCTATATATATTTGTTGATCTTTATTAAATATTTTGTAGTTGTAAATAAATAATATACTAAAGGTTTAAGCATTATTACATATTATTAAGTATATTCATACCTTTATTAATGTATAACATATCTGTAAATATATTTATATATTATTCTTTATTGAACAGACAACAGAAATGGAGATTGTAGAAGATGGAAATTTAGTTGACCGTGTAAGAATTTTATTACAACGGGATATGCAATATTATCAGGTATTATTAATCATAGTGTAATAGTATCTTTGTAAGGTGAAAAGTACTCTGATCTGACGAAGTTCCCAAATTATTTATCTCCAAAAACAAAGTTTCGAATGAAAAATTTCGTGTAGAATTTATTTTAATTTTTTCATGCAAAATTACCTCTTTTTTGATTGTATTATATTTTGTATTATAAATAAAATTGATTATGCAATTTTAAATGTTTATTTTAATAAATAAGTTATAATAAGAATTGATGTAACACTAATGTTAACATAGTGTTCACTTATTATAAAATAGGGTTTTAATTAGAACAATCTGTTGGCGAAGGTCACTCAAGTTAATTTTAATGAAGAATACCTATAGTATGTATTTTGTTTTGTAACACTGATGTCATAATTTTCTCTGTATTGAGTACAAATCTGCAAAATGTTTCTTTTTTAATAAATTGAAAAGTAAATTTATAAATTGAAAAATTGGTACATAAGGGATGTACATTGAACAAGGACATAATCACAGAAATATTTTGCACAATGATACAGGAAATGCAAACGGTATTGAAAGAGTCGCTTTGTACACGTGTCCACGGTGGAAAACTCGATTTTCCTCGACATGCTTCATTCGCTGCTGTTAAAATTGTTACATGGTGGGAAGCAGATTTTCAAGCTGCTTTCAAGTGTCACTCTGGATTAACGAGTGCAAGCGAACATGACGCTACCGCAAACGTAGGAACCGAGGATAGAGTCATAAAAAAAATTCAGCCATCCGAATTCATACTTCTCGTTGTTGACACCTCTGATAAATTATTAGGTATATTGCATATTTCATTCTGCAAAATTTAAGTTCGAATTGCTTACAAATAGTTTTCAGTTCTGTATTATAATATAAAGTTATTAAATTATTGCTATTGTGTCATATTATCCCTTAAATAATTTCAGAACATTTACATATGCTTATTCAGGAATCGTTGGATCACGCGGATTTGACGGTTTTAACTGCTACTTTGGGAGCAGCTGCGCTCATACGAAATTGCTTATGGTGTTATAGTCAACAAGCTAAAAGTGCGATTTCTTCACATTCAAGGTATATTACACAATGAAATAACTGTTTAAACTCTTTTATCTTGAACTTATTTTCAATTCTCAAAATAAAAAGAGGAGAAAATAAATATTGGGAACAGGTGCATACAGGGTGTTTCAGTTCATGGAAATCAATTATTTCCTAATCCTAAACTTTTCGTTCTTTAAAAAAATGATTCAAATAAAACTTACTGTGTTTCAACTACTCATGATATAACAAATAAAGGAAGAAGTAACGTTTATATTTTTAATAGATTTATTTATGAATAATTATGTTGATTATTAAGTAGTAAAGCTATTACAGCATAATACTCTAATTTTTAAAATTTGATATGTTTGTTATTAATAGCGAGAAACTAAACAAAGCATACAAATCTTATCATGAAATGGCTGAAGCAGTAGCGGAAAGATTGTTGGATCTACACTGCCGTTTAATTTCATTGTACATATTAAATGAAGCTGACTCTCTCAGCTGGCATGATACTAAACCTTTTTTTGAACGAGAGCGTTGTTCTTTTTCAATTCAAATGTGGTGGTTATATATGCAAGGTAATTAGCGCTAAACATGTCGGACACTTCGTATACTTCATATTGAAAATTTTTTAAATTTTCAAATTGGTAGTTCTTAAATTTATTTTTTAAATACATTACAATAACACTGTTAGTATTACCATTAATTATATCGAATCTTATTATTTTTAGGGACGAAGGCCGATTTGTGGAACACCGTTTCCCCAAAAATGGCACAACGTGTGTTTTCCGGAATGTTAAATGAGTCTCTGTCTATCCTTGTAACAAGATTTATCTATGTAAGAATACTTATAAATGTGCATTATGTATACAAGATGTTTCACAACTAGTGTAGGTCCCTAAAATAGGGGGTAGCTGACGTGATTCTGAATAAGATTTCCCTTTGCAAAAATGGGGTTCGAAGTTTCGTAAATTCAAAAACGAAGTAAATTCAGCTACTCCCCATTTCAGGGACCTACACTAGTTGTGAGATACCTTGTACATGTATAATAAAAAACGTTATTTTGTTCTAGGGTCGTCCAACTTTGGCACGATCTGAACAATTCTGGACAGACGCTTTCAACGTCCTTTGTTGTACGGGATATCTTGCATTGGGTGCCTGTATCAATGCTACTGAAATGATTGGAATAAAATTAAATAAATTATCAATCTCTGTTAGAGATATACATGCAAAATGCAATGAGCTGTTGGTTTGTTTATTATTGAGAGGCACCCCTCTTCAAGATTTATATCAAGTATAAAAATAAGGATAATATAATAGAATAAGTCACGTTTTGATGTTGAATCATTTTCCTGTTTATTTATTCTATCTTTTACATTTGTTTTACATTTGTTTATTACCTTGTATTACTTCTATTTATTGAAATTATGTTTCATTTTTTGATTCACGTAAATCATATTTATTTGCTTTTTAATTGTTTTAATTTTATGTGTACTTTTGTTCAATAAAATAAAATTTGCAGTTTTGTAAAAATTGTCCTATTATTTATAGTTATGATATGTAGTAACCTAATGGTAACATTTATTATTATTGTTCAAAAACGTTACCATAACGACTAACATAAATTAACAAATAATATTCAGGGGAAGTTATGACAAAATAAGTTACTTTTAAGTGTTACTGATTCGTTTAATTAACAATGTGTATAAATAATATATATAAATGACTTATTTAAAAACAATTGAAAGTTGCAGTAGAGATTATGTTTCAGAATTTCTATTTATTATAGGCTTTCAGAGTTGGGTTTGATAATTTGAGTATTTTACAACCACGTCTCGGACCTGCACCTTGGCTGCTAATATGTGCACCAAATTTAGCGGGTTCTCTCGATTCTGATGTTTACATTTCAAACTTATCAGAAGACCGATATGTAATTTTGGAACTGAATGTTCTCAGGCATCAACCTCAACCAAATTGGCCTCAAGTAATAAAGGTATCTATGATACTTGTTAAATTTTGAATAGAAAAATGACTCCTACAAGCTTTTAAACAAACCGAATAAAAGATTTCAAGCTTATTTGAAAATTATTTAAAAACTGATTCAAGTAATTACAATTTTTTTATATTTTATATTGTTTAAATTATTATTTTCAAGTAATTTAAATTAATTTAGGTAGTTTAAAATTTTTGCAGGTACTTTCTATGAATGATTATGCAGTGGCTAAGATACTGTTGAACACATTAATTCACGAGTGTGGTAATTATACGTCCGAAGACGATTTTGATCATTCAAAATCAAAACTTGATGAACACGGTTGTGGTGGTTTTTTGTGTAGTAGCACAGCCTGCAATCAAATATTAAAAGTGACTCCAGCATCAAGTCTTTATAGTTTAATGTATATTTTAATATGTGTCGCGCAGGATTGTGGTCATGTTATCGCACCAGTTTTGGAACGGAGTCACGAATGGTCCAGTTATGTCGATCGACAACAGGTATTTCTTAGAATTTTAAAAGTGAGAAATAAAACGAGAATGTAAAAGATGAGAAATAGTATTTCAAAGTGAAATTCACAAATTATATATGTACCACTTATGAGCGGCTTTTATTATGATAAAAGTGAGCTAACTTTATATTGTGGAAGGATTTACATTTCTTTATTTTTTAAGATTTCTCGTTTCATATGACTAAAAAATATAATAAATAAATCTTGAAAAATGAAGTTAACGCTTTTGCATTTTAAACAGATTTAGAATTATTTATTAACATGATTTAATAATGGAGTAATTATTTATTACCTTGATTTACAATGTCCATTATATACATACATACATACATGTATCTCTTGTATTTACACAGGTGTGGAATCAGTCAAGACCACCATGGTTAAATGCAATTTTAAATCCACTGCATAGTATAATGCAGCCGATCATTGAAATGCTTTTAGAAGCTGTAAGAGTAAGTTACCATTTATAAATAACGCTTTACACCTATAATTTAATGTATGAAATATAACAACACACAACATGAAACAAACACAGTATTCTGTAATAATTTCGACAATGTCATTTGTCATGATAAGTGAATCTTTAAAATTAAATTGCATCATTAAATTTAACTAACATCACCCAGTTTTAAAACCCTGTAAAACTAAGATTAAAGAAGACCTAATTAAGTAGACCTAAAATTAAAAAATTAAAAAATCCTAAGATCTGAATGTTTACAAAATTCTGAAATTTTAGACAGGAGCAAGTATGTACCAGGCAATGTCACTGGTAATTGGTTGTTTCACTGAATTGTACGTGACTTTACCACCTGCTGTTTTAAAAACCGTGTTAGTACTGAACGAGTACATTCCTGCCCACTGCCATCCGATCGGTGGAAATCTTCTTCTTCACATTCTTTGTGCGTCGCTCTATACTGCCCTTCTTGAGTATTCCAAAACCTGCAAAGAGGAAGAGGAAAAGAGTTCAACTTTTAAAGAAATGAATTACGAAATGAGTTTCTTCGATTCTAGTGATTCTTCGGCGATCGTACTCGCCTTGGCTGAAGCCATTTGTAGCATCGATGAGGACAATAAGCACACTTCTCAGATTGACGATTTTTTTCAACTTGTTAAGGACAAGTAAGAATTTTTATATTGTAAGTTTTTAGTGCTGAATAGGGTTAATTATTACAGTGGACGATGTCCAAAATTCTAAAGAATTAACCAATGCTAAATACGAGAGATTTGAGGCTTTCACGACCAAGCAGTTATTGCTATTTACACCCGAATTATTTATTACACCTGAAAGTCTCAACAGCAATAAATGCTAAATACGGTAAAAGTTTTGATTATTAAGTATTAAAATTGTTATAGTAACTACTTGTTGAAGAGACTTGTTGAAGAGATTTGTTTCTTGTTGAGAGACTTGTTTCTTGTTGAGAGACTTGTTGAAGAGACTTTTTCAAGTGTTTGTGAAATAATTGTAAAATATCCATGTCACCAACCAGTGCTATACTGTATCTTTACTAATACCTTAGTAAATTATATTATATTCAAAATTAATTGAAGATTTGAATTATTCTTTCAGCATCCATGAAACAAATGAGGACCTGCACGTTAACAAAGCTAAAAATATATCTTCCATCATTGAAACATATACTGATGAACTATTGTTTACCAGTTCCGGACGACGAGCTTTAAAAGTACATAAAAATTGAATTATCTGTGTGTTAAACTTGTGTTTTAATATTGAAACTTTTATGTAAGAGATTAATATATTATAGAATTTTTTATAGCTTGTATGTTGTAGGTAACGCATGAATATTTAGTACGTGCATCTGATTTGGTGTTGAATAATCTCCGACAACATAATACTGAGAAGTTGATGCCTAATGTGCCGGAAGTCTTTCCTTTTGTTAAACCGCTAATTCATATAATGTTTCACATTGAGGATAGTATATTTGATCAGGTTAGTGGTAAATTAAGATAATTAATAAATGAAGAAGAATGAAAAGTTTATAAGATAAGAAAAGATACTTCTTTCTTTCTATATTAAGTGTTGTTTTGACAATTATTTATTTTTTATTTTTCCTTTTGAATTATAATTAAATTTGAAAAATATTAGAGTAGTACAAATTATTTAGAATGAAAGTTGATGTAGAAAGTTGAGGTAGAATAAAAGTTACAACAAAAATTAGAATAGTAATGGTAAAAAAATTTGAATGTCAAATTTTAATGTAATACAGTAATATTATTAAACATTTTGTGATATACGTATTTTTAAATAATTCTTTTGTACAATATACAATACATATAGTTGATCTGTAAAAAAGATGCTATTAATTATATAATTCTACTTCATTCTAGTCACGTACATAAAGTAATAATTATGATTATTGAAAATTTAGTAAGAAATAATATACTGATTTTTTTTTAACAGTTTCTTACACAATACGAGAAGACAAATTGGAGAAAATCTTTAAAAATGCCGCTCTCTGTCACGGTTGATCATGCACGAAGTCAACTTCTATTACGTCCAGAATTCAAAAATGTCGGCGAATTATCACACGAAGATAAAGAAGCTATATATTTGCTTAGAAAAATTTGCTCTTCCGTCAAAACAGCACATTTCAAGTAATTTTGTATCACAGAAAAATGTAATTGAAATAAAATTTTTATTCCTCAAATATTTGCATAATATTTATTACTGTGCAAGTGAAATTTAAGTTTGTTTAAAATTACTAAAAAAAGTTCAAAATAACAATTTCCAATTTGGTATGATTTTATACCAAAAATTATTATCATTGATATTTTAATATTGCTTAGAATATAAGCTACATTGTAATAAATAAAATTGTTTAAAATATACAATGACAAGTAATAAAAATAGTTATATACATAATAAGTACGCTGATATATAATTTTGTATGTTTAAGAAAATTAACAAAAAGACAAACACAGATTACAGTAAAACTTTATTTATTATTCTATAAATAAGCATCGAATTCAGACAAATATAGCACAGACAGAAGTTCTAAATATATCATTTACAGTAATACCTTTTATTAAACTATTTTTTTTTCGACATTTTCATGCATTATCCATTTTCAAATATATCTTATACTTTTATAATTAAAACTTTGAATACAAAGCAGTTAAATATTGAAAATGAAACTTGTAATTCTTTTGCTAAGAATTTGATCAGTTTTAAATACAGAAATAATTTAATAAAATAAGTAATAATAATTTATAGAATCAGGTATTACACAGTCAATAATTATCATGTTTACAGCTAGCGTACATAAAAAGGAGAAATAAATAAATGAATAAACTACATTTTTACTTAATTATCTTCAAATCTTGGTGGTGCAATGGCGCTCATTTGTCTGGATAGTAGTCGCATCTGAAAAATAAAAGCAATTCAATTAATAGCAATTTCAATTGTTACATTTTTATTTAGCACCGCGATTAATGGATAAAAAAATAGAAAGGCAATACTTTATTAACTTAGTAAGTTTATTAAATTTTAAGTAAGGTAAATAATTGTGCAATAATTTGTGTAATTCTACTCTTTCTTCTCAAATAAAACACCCTGTATAAACCTGCAGTATTACATTTCATAACTGTTAAATTACATAACTGTTTAAATTCAAAGAGATTTTCGTTTTAATATAACCGTGAAGTAGAAAATAACCATGAAGTAGTAAAATAATTGAATTTAGTAAAAGAATTATACTCACAGCTAGATGAGGATCTGAACGTCCAAAACGCAAGCGCAATGAAGGTGATCGCTGAGATTTACGAATCATTAAATGTTCGAATGGAGCTTCATTATATCCAGGATTTTCTAAACCAGCGCGTTGTAGTAAAAGTCTATAAAGTTCGTGAATATTTTCCGCTGGTGTTTTATCTGATATTTCATCTGTAATATCAAGTATTCGTTAATAATATAATAACTCAAATATACATCGTTACGAACACGAAGAGATTTAAAATCTTTTACAAATCTTGGAAGAAGAATATTCAGAATCTATGATCTTTAAGAGTTTTTAATTTTTAAATTTAATAGAATTGCAAATTTGTAAATTTGTAAATTGCAAATTTGTAAATTTGTAAACTTGTAAACTTGTAAATTTGTGAATTTGTAAATACATCCACAAGTTTTATAATTTTTATATTTAATTTATTTTAAAATATCTTCTCAAAATGTAACTTTTTATTTACCTCCATAGTCCATATAACTTTCGACGCCAAAAACGAAACCAATCATGGCGAAGATGAAGATTGCTTTCATACAGGATGCAGATAACATCTTGTTATAATTATCTAAGAACAAAATAGTCAATTTTTATATTTATAGCACAATATATTTTATTTATACTTGCATAGTAAAATTAATATCTTAAGATACTAATAGAAATAATTATAAGCTTAATATTATACTACACTGATAAACTTGTAGTTATTACAATGTAATTAAACTATTTTACAAATCTGTAAAGACATACTGATTTTTCAAGAAATAAAGTACATAGTATGTACACTTACACACATACGATGATAAAACTGTATTTCTTCCATATAATTGTATTTCATTATTATCCTTATCTATAACTACTACTTTCTTTTTTCATTACAAAATATTACTTTCATTACTCAGACGTTGAATTAAAAAAATGTTTAAACATACTTTAAATAAACATCTACTATTGTTCTCTTGAATTGCTATATTCATGAAGCAACGTGTTTGACAAAATATACTTGACAACGAAATCTAAATCGTTCAAATTGTATTTGTTAAGAAAATCATTTGAGAGACAAAAACTTTTTACATTTGTAAAAATCATATCAAACACGAAACATTTTACATTTGTAAAAATCATATCAAACACGAAACTATTTACATTTATAAAAATCATATCAAACACGAAACTATTTACATTTATAAAAATCATATCAAACACGAAATTATTTACATTTATAAAAATCATATTAAAGACAAAACCTTTTATTTTCATTAAAGTTATTTCAAAGAGGAAAACGTTTTATTCTTCTCAAAAGCAATTTCCTAAATAAACACACATTTGCATAGAACTACAGTGAGAACTGAGAAGTGAGAAGTCTACCACAAAATTTAAACTCCATTTGAACTATCAACTGCAGTATAATTTTAAAAACAAGGACAGCCCACATACATCATTACATATCAAACTAAAATAAAAATAACTTAAAATACAGAAAAAAAATAAAACTACTACAAATCTGTAAAGTTGTAAGGAAAATGTAATAGTCTACGAACTCACCGATCAAATCGAAAATAGACGAAGAAGAATCTCAATGAATCGTTGAACTTGCTTATTGGAAATCGCGATCGTAGAAATCTAGCGAATTGCACGATACGATAGTGTCGATGAGAAATGAGACAGTATCGAGGGTGTCTTCATATATATAGGGGATGCGGCGGATTTTACGGGGTAGGAGAGTGTGGGCGCAGACATAGGTGACCGCTCGAAAGCAACTACATGATCTTTTCGAGCGCAAGCGTCTCCATTTTTCATCTCTATCTCATTTTCTAACATATATGTGCCTTATAAAGAAATTTCAGGTTTGTTGCAATTCTATGATTCAGCGATTCTATTTTCTAATGCCATATTTTATTATGTATAGACGTGTGGTGAGTGCGTATATGGTAAGGTGTAAATAAGATTTTTATATGGGTAAGATTCCTTAGATTGTTTTAATGTTTTGTAGTAGATATTAGGCAAGTTTTTGGAAGTTAGTTGAAGATTTGGAAATTTGAGAAAGTGAGAATTTTGGGAATTTGGAGATTTGGGGATTTGAAAATTTAGGGATTTGGAAATTTCAGAATTTAGGGGTTTGACAATTTTGGAAGGGCAATTCGGGGATTTTGGGAGTTAGGGATTTGGAGATTTAGGGATTTGTGGATCTGGAGATTTGGGGATTTGGGGATTTGGGGATTTGGGGATTAGGGGATTAGGGGATTTGAGAATTTGAGAATTTGGGGATTTGGAGAATTTGGGGATTTGGAGAATTTGGGGATTTGGAGGATTTGGGGATTTGGAGAATTTGGGGATTTGGAGAATTTGGGGATTTGAAGAATTTGAAGATTTGGAGATTTGGAAATTTGGAGATTTAGGAATTTGGAAATTTGGGAATTTGGGAATTTGGAAATTTGGGAATTTGAGGATTTGGGGATTTGGGAATTTGGAAATTTGAGAATTTAGGGGTTTGAGAATTTTGGGGATTTGGGGATTTAGGGATTTGGGGATTTAGGGATTTGGAGATTAGGGGACTTGAGAATTTGAGGGTTTGAGATTTTGAGATTTTGAGATTTTGGAAATTTAGGAATTTGGAAATTTGAGAATTTAGGGGTTTGAGAATTTTGGAAATTTAGGGATTTGAGAATTTGAGAATTTTGGGATTTAGGGATTTGAGAAATTAGGAATTTGAAATTTTGAGAAGTTAAACATTTGGGTATCTGGAAACTTGTGAATCAGTAAATTTGAAAATTTGTGGGTGTGTGGTTCTTGAAACCTTGAAGTCCTGTATTTCGAAAAGATTAGAATATAAAACATTTGTAAACTTAAAAACCTAGGAACTTGTAAGTTAGTGAATATTTATAAACTTGAAAACTTGAAAATTTGTAAACTTACTAATCTGGAAGCTTGAAAATTTATCAACTTGTAAGCTTACAATTTTGAAAACTTAGAACATTAAAAAAGTTAAAAGACATCCACGTCATGTTTGTATTTTTCGTTTAAATAAAATATGATACAAACAGAGTTTGTTTTTTTTATCTTTGTACAGCGGTATCTTTATTACTTCTTTTGTAGTATTCAAATTGACCCAGGTTTGATGAATAAGAGATAAATCTTAGATGCGATTCACAGTAGGAGTTCAATCATCTTTCAATCGCAGGCAATGAATAACCTTAAGAAAGAACATTTGATTAGCCTTGATTAAGATACGAAACATACTGTTCTGTGTATTGTAGATAGTGGAATAATATTTTTCTCGTTTTGTCTTGTGAACCATTAGGATGACAATTCGTGTTTTTACTTTGAAAGAAAAACGGATACAAATTTTTTAAAATAAGTTTATTTATTGTTCGAATGTTATTGCAAAGCAAATTCGTTGATTAATATTGTTTTGAATGTATAAAATTGAGAAATTGAGAAATTGTGAAGTTGTAAAGTTGTAAAGTTGTAAAGTTGTAAAGTTGTAATATTGTAATGTTGTAAAATTGTAAAACTTTTAAACTTATACAACTGTAAGATGGTAAAATTGTAAAATTGTAAAACTGTAAAACTGTAAAACTCTAAAATTATAAAATTATAAGATGGTAAAATTGTAAAATTATAAAGGTGTGAAATTGTAAAACTGTAAAACTGTGAAATTATAAAATTATGAAATTGTAAGATGGTAAAATAGTAAAATTGTAAAATTGCAAAATTGCAAAATAGTAAAACACTAAAACAGTAAATTAGCAAAATAATAAAATATTACAATAACAAAACAATAAAATAGCAAAACAGCAAAATAAAAACCTAATGAAATGCTAAAAATGGTATAATAATCTACTAAAATAGTAAATGATAAAATAATAAAAATTAAATAATAAAACAATAATAAACTACCCCTATAAAAATAGTAACTTTTATAAAATTAAAGAAAAATGAGAATGCAGTAGATCTTCAATTTAAACAATTACAATCATAAATCAGTTTTAAGCTCAATTTCATCCAAAAAGTACTAATGGCAGAATAATCTTCCCTTAGCAGAAAAAAAATCGATAGTTGAACATACATAAGAAGTACAAGAACGTATAAAATTACATCCCGTCATTAACGTTAATGTCCACTCGAGAAACTCCGTTGTTAAAGTCTCAATAAACATATTTACTCACAATAAGAGCCAAGTTAATTGACTACATGCAATGCTAGAATCTACCCCTATGTTGAAAGAGCTAAATATATCGTTTAACACGTCCAACATTCAATCAACACATGATGTAATCTACAAAATTAGTTCTATTTGTATCTTTAAATATTTATGAAACTAACAAATTAAGAAAATCTTCACTATTTCTGTGACATTTTTCTGTATGTATATGTATATAAAAACACTAAATAAACTAAATAAATTAGAATCCAACAAAGAAGAAATTTGCAAAAACACCAGTAAATAATGACGCTCTTAGTGAAAAAATCAATTAACAAGAATAAACGATAAAATCCTAATATTAGAAATAAAATACTTAATAATTTTGTTATTAAATAATTAATTAAATTTAAAAATATTTTGTACTTTTCATTTTATTATAAGTTACTCTTCTAATACATTTCTGTCACAGCTTATTCGAAATTACTTTTAAAGCAATATTTCACAGTATGCCAATCTCATAATTCGATTTCTATTAGTTCACGGCAATATTTACATTTGATATTTCACATCTGTTTCAAGAATTTATAAATCGATATTTCCTATCAAGCAAATATTTCGCTAGTGATCGATACTTATTAGAATTTAATCTTGATTACGATAACGTATCATAACCCTTTCAAACTTGTATTCGTTCTTAATTAATCAGAATTATGGTACATGTGTACTGTCTTTTTTCCTTAAACTTATTGTTATAAAAAATCACTCATTGTATAGTAACTTGTTACTTATTGTTACATGAAACTTTGATGACCTTGACCTTCACACATCAAGGTTACTCGATCATCTTAAAAAGGTTTGAGCCACTATGCAAAATGAGTTCTATAAAAATAAGTTCTTCACATTAAATACATACTATAACAAAAAATAATAAAATAAAAATTTTAATAGTATATTTTCTAACAAAAGATATCTGCATATTCTAAACAGTTTTAAAAATTACTATTTTGAAATAGAAGAATTATTTACTAATTTAATGACTGTCTACAAAGTATATTTGTTGTCAAAAGACACTCAAAGCTTTACCTTAATATAAAAATATTTAACATTAATATTACATATTAAAATATTAACACATAGGTTTGATCAAATTTTTATTTATTTACAATTTTATTTGAAAATGAGTTGGTTTTCCGAATGTTTTACAAGCAGAGTTCGAAATCTGATAGTTCATTTTGTATACAGACGTGTTCAGGTGGAACATAAATTATGCGTATGCAATTCGTGAAGCCTATTCCTTGACGCCATCCACTTACGATTATAATCGCGTCACCAACTTTAATATACTTTTTTCTTCGGAGAAAATTGACGCCGCTTTCGATCCGAGTTTCCATGTCTTTACTCCAGTCACATAATGGCGGATCTACATTAACAATCATATAAATATATTATGTAAAATTTACTGATATCTGAATTATTGAAGATATTGAATATTGTACAGATATGTACATACATGTGCACACATATGTGAAAGTTAATATTCTTGAATACAGTTGAATAAAATATTTTTATTAACCTTACGAGCATAGGGGAATGCATTTGTCTTAAAATAAATTACTAGTACTTACTGTTTGAGATAAATTACTATCTAAGATTCGTAAAGAATCTTAGATTCATTTCTACACACAAAATATTTATTATAAATGTCTTATTTATGGGCAATTTTTAATTTTTACATAAATTAAAAGTAATTACAAAGGTGAAGTACTATCTTCATATCTAACTTTGAATAATCCTTTAAAGATTACTCTTTAAGGATAATAATTTTTGAGGATATTTTTCTAGGATTTAAATTTTCTTATAATTTATGATTAACTCTTCTAGGATTCATCATTAGCACAAACCATGAATTACTCACATAACCCAAGAACATTTGTCTATCGAAAAATTGTGACTGTCAAATAAAAAGAAGATATATTTACTAATATAATGAAGTGGATAAAGTCCATGATAAAGTTGCAACGATCTAGCAACAATTCCATAACGAGTAATAGCAACGATAGGACATCTAGGTCGATATAGTGACAACATAGTGGCAGTACGACCGCTTGTTGTTGTTACAATAATTGCAGCTGCGTTAGACTTTGAACATGTTTCGATTGCACCCACGATGATCGCTTGCGAAGGATCCAAAGGTATAGCTATCTATTTTCAAACAAAAAAAACATATTCAAGTAAAATAAATCATTCATTAATTAATTCATAAGTTTATAAAATATACAGGGTGTAATGCTACTCACGATTTTTCTCCCACTTGTAGCCACCTTACGAAAAGATGTTCAGAACAATATTTGCAGAGTATGAAATGCAGAATAGATATTAGAAAACAGATATAGGACAATATTTGCAGGGTGTGAAGTGCACAATAGATATTAGTAAAGCAAATTTTTAAAACAGTTTGTTCTCTTGACAAAGTCAAGGTCACCTTGGGTTTTTTAAATAGGAACACATTTTTTTATTCGTAGCTTTAGAGGACATCGAGACGAATTCAAAACACATATTACATGGTATTTTTATTAACATATTACTCGATTTACAGAAGTGGAAATGTGAAGTAAACGACCGGAATATTACGTGATGGAAGGCGGCATACATTTTGAACATGTAATTAAATAAAGTGTATTTTTCGTACATTCTAGTCGTGTGTTTACATTCAGTAATCTCTTCGGAATCAAATAATGGTTACACTACCAAAGTTAAAAGCTAAGTACTTCACATTTCCACTTCTGTAAATCGAGTAATATGTTAATAAAAATATCATGTAATATGTGTTTTGAATTCGTCTCGATGTCCTCTAAAGCTACGAATAAAAAATGTTCCTATTTAAAAAACACAAGGTAACCTTGACTTTGCCAAGAGAACAAACCGTTTTCAAAATTTGCTTTACTAATATCTATTGTCCACTTCATACCCTGCAAATATTGTTCTAAACTTTTTCCGTAAGGTGGCTGCAAGTGGGAGAAAAATCGTGAGTAGCGTTACAGGTAACACCTTGCATATATTTTAAATATAAACACCTTATGACTGAGGTCGTTAAAGATTTCCCTTTGCCATCTAGCGCTTTCAGCTTCTCTACATATTACGTCGATATTTTTCAATAATTCGCTAGTTTGTTTGCAATTCAAAGTACCCGTCTTAAGAAAAATTCCGTCAGTGCCAGTTAACACCGCGTTTGCTATTAAATTCATGTCGATTCTTGGTTGTCCGCAGTTAGGCACGTGAAAAGCTAACATAACTGGTTTTCCTACCTGAAATCAAAACATCAAAATTTAATACTTACGAAATAAAAATATTAACTTATTATAAACACTCACATTCATACACTTCCCAATGACAACTTTTTCAACAAGAAACATCTTTTCAGGACCCACGTCAATTTCTACGCTTTTTCTATCGAGAAGAATAGCGTCGGCAGCGCCCAAAATTTCGTCAAAATTTTCCAAACCTTGTTGCGAAGAAATTTTCGCCATCACGCAAACTTTATTAGCGCCTTCAAGCAAAATAAATTAGCACGGTACTTTTTTATTACAGCTCTAATACCAGTAATGCAAATATACCTATCTGTTTTAAACGACTTTTAATCCCGTTAATAAGTCTCTTATTACGCACGTGATTCGCTATAAGAATGTCACATTCTAAGTCGGCTGCTAGTCTAATGTGTTCGTTATCCGTTTCAGAAATTTGAGGCAGTGGAATGATACTGTCCATTAATTGTACAAGTTTTTCGTCTTTTATAATACCTCCTTTTATGACTTTGCAAACTAGAGATGTTTCACCTATATTAAACACATATCAATTTTTATAAATGTCTACATTTATGTAACATCATTTTTGTAAGAAAGTTAAAATTCTTCAATATAGTTGAATAAAATGTTAAATAAAATAAAATTCAGAATAATTGCCTTTCTTTTCTTGAGTATTACATTTGTACTGTTTTCAGTTTCATCAAAATTAATAAATGTATTAAGCTGCATTGATATTGTTAGTTTATATATCTATTTGTATTTCGGATTTGAAATGTTATTTATTGATGATTATGATAATTTTGTACATGTATTACGTACACACATATAACGTATGCATAACATTATACAGGAAATTTTTATTAATTTTGAATGAAGAATATAATGTTTTTGTTTGTGCAGAATATTTTTCATCTTTAAAAATAAAGATATTCTTTCTTTTATAATTTTTATCATTTTTCTTTGTATAATTAGATAAGTGTGTATTGCTAATTATAAGAATGAAGTATACTAACGAACACATCTGACTTGCAGTATAGCAGCACCACGATCGATCAGTATTTTATCTCCGGGACGACATACTCGTGGTAAATTAGGATAGGAAATCCAAAAGCAACAAGCAGATCCTGCTCGTTTTGCAAGATCATTCGTTACTAGTCTAACTATACCACCTTCTTTTAATTGTGCATATCCCTATAAGGACAGTATACGTTATTTAAAACAATATATAGTATTTGAATTTTTCAGATGCAAGATTCCCTAATTCTTTAATTTTCAAAGGACCAATTTTTCAAGTTTTCCAATTTTCAAATTCCCAGGTTTTCAAATTTTCAAATTTGCAAATTCTTAAAGTTTCTAGTTTTTCAAATTTCCAAATCCTCAAGTTTTCACATTCTCAAATTCCTAACTTTTCAAATTTTCAAAGGACCAATTTTTCAAGTTTTCCAATTTTCCAATTCCCAAGATCTCAAATTTTCAAATTCCCAGGTTTTCAAATTTGCAAATTCTCAAAGTTTCCATTTTTTCAAATTTCCAAATCCTCAAGTTTTCAAATTCTCAAATTCCTAACTTTCCAAATTCCCAAATTCTCATATTTTCAAATCCCAGTTTCCCAAATTCTCATATTTTCAAATCCCAGTTTCCCAAATTCTCATATTTTCAAATCCGAATTTCTCAAATTCTCCAAGTTCACAAATTCTTCAATTTTCCAAATTTCCAAATTGTCTAACAAATCTCTACAAGCGGAAATTCGAAGTACTTCCTTTGTTATTGATCTTGAGTGGTCCTATAGGTCATCAAATAATCATGGTTAAACTCATCTTGATACACACTCCCATATAATATAAAAAATACATATAGCATTCCATTTAAAAATATTGATCTTCAAATTATGTTGATCTTCGAAATTTCTTAAACACCACCCATAAGGAAATATATCAATGTACAATGATCAAGTACATCATCGTCTTCCTTGAAGTCATATAATCTTGCAGAAGCAAAGATCGCTAAGCAAAGATTTTTGTATAACGCATAATTCGACAGTTTTGAATAACCTAACTTGAATGTTAGGTCATCCTGTATAATATATACTTTGTCGAACCAGAACGAATTCAACAAACAATATAATCTTTATTATTAAAACGAAACTTAATTATGAAAAACTAAATTCTCATACTCTATTCAGAGGATCACCGTTGAATATTCCCGTCCGTATTTCGGGACCTCTCAAATTCATCGCGACTCCTAGAGGATAAATATCGCTGGTGTATTCATACATTCTATTTCCAGCTTCTCTAATAGACTGCACCGTGATTGCATGCCATTTTTCTTGTTCATGGGACATGTTCAAGCGGACTATGTTTGCTCCAGCCATCATCATTTCAACGATAGCTTCGGGATGAGAATTCGCATTACCTATATCAAACATGTAAGATCTGACAGCACAAACTTGTTCTTAATTGAATTCTTGTGCGACAAGTATAGCTATTAAATAATTTTTTATATCAGCTATAAATAATTTTTTATATCAGTTATAAATAATTTTTTATATAATTTCTGAAGTAATGTAATATTTGCATGTGAAATTAAAATTTTGAGAATGCATTTAATAATTAAATTTAATATTGAAGAACCATTCGGACATTTCTTTAAATATTCGAGTTTTAAATTTTTGTTCATTTGAAATCGATTTATATGAGATTTTTATTTTTTGTTTTTTTTTAAATCTCATAAAATGTTTCATAAAGAGACATGTTCTTACCCAGTGTAACCATAAGTTTAGTGAGTCTTGCTACTTTAGGGCAGCAAGTTATATCAAGATTTATATTGTGCTCAAGACGTGTAGTTTGATAGGCAGCACTTAATTGGTTATCCATTAAACAGTGGTCTTCTAAATGTACCATCTATGTATCAAAATGAACGTTAATAAATATAAAAATAATATGTGAATATAAGGGAAGAATTATTACTTTAGTATAATCACTTATCAGTAATTTTTTTATTTACTATAAAACAAATTATTTTGTACATAAAAATACCAATATAAGTACATATATTAATATTCATCAAATAATAATAATAAATATTTGAAAAGTAATTACTTAGAAAAAGAACACCTTGTTATAATAATCAACTAGACTTCTTCAACTTTTTATTATTTAAATACTTACCATTCTGAAGTTTGCTTACTTGCTATAATAATGACATCATTCAAAAACCACAAAAAAGGACTTTGAAAAATATAAACAAAAACCATTTTTCTTATATTAATATTTTAAAAATTGTAAATTTTTAATTATGTCATTGTTACAGTAAATTAATAATATCATAACTTGAATGCATTAGTTTATATCTAATAATAACTATAAAAAATACCCATGGTGGTTGATGACATGGTTTCACAACTTTCGTTGCTGACGAATTTGCATTAGAACATATCATGGTATATATTACGTATAGTACAAAACACTTGGTAATTTTTGGGGACTAATTGTACATGTACACAAATTTCAGTAATTATAATCAAAAGTTAAGTAATCCATTTTGCTATTGGTTTGGTGAGGTTATTTGACACTTAATACTACATTTTGTGGTTATAAAAAAAATTTGAATATTGACAATAAACATACAGTCAAACCTCAGTAACTCGAATCATAATAAAAGAGCTAACATCTTTCAGTTGTAAAGATTTCAGCTTATTACAGTTTACAAGTAAGAGAAGATTAATAAACGATCTCTATTTTATAAACTTTGAATAGGAATTAATATTTTTCTGAGAAAACATATTTTTAGAATATGTATCATGAAACGTGCAGAGTTTTTTTAAATATACAACAAAGTATAATTATTTAGACATAAATTTAGGCTAAACTCAAATTACTAATGTCAAATTACCTATTTAAATGTAGGAAGTCATGGATTAAAAATTGAAGGGTAATAATAAGCATTCTAGAATAAAATAAACTTTTTTATTCATCTTTCCTACAGAAATTAGGAATCAAGCACAGCATGTTTTTTCTAGTAAACAATATCTCTGATTTCAATAATTTATTGGTTCAAATAATCATTTTGTTCTTCAATAGAGGTATGTATATGTACGTGTAAGTGTGTATGTGTGCGTGTGTGTGTTTGTTCATTTGTATCTATATTCGTATACCTTAAAATACATATGTGCACTTCTGCATTCATGTATGTAGGTACTTCGTTACAGCAATAATACTGCAGCTACCGGCATTTTCAGATTGTTACCCGTTTAACAAGTTTACTAAATTCACCATACAGTATAAGTTATATACATACTGAATTTTCAAAAGCTAAAGTTACTGAACCATTTTGCTCTTTATAGCCCAGCCAGTGCATGTTTAATCAACGGTCCTAGAAACAAAAAGTAAATGTGAAAATACATATTAAAAAATAAAATATATAAACTTGTAATATACATAAAGTGATTTAATGTTATACAAACATGCAAATTTCTAGCATTAAAACCAAAATTACTCTTATATTGTTTTCAATATTTTACACAATAAAACTGCTTCCCATCTAGTAATCACCTTTATTTATTTCACAAAAAGCGTAAAATTTTTATATACACGTAACATACATCTCACTCTAGTAAGATTATAACCTAATCCGAGTTTAACTATAGTTGTTTTTAACAATATAATTAAATTGGAACAAATACATGTTAAAACACATGTTAAGGCTTTGAAAAATACTGAAAAAGCAAACTGCAAATACACATAACCGCTTTTATTAAATCATAAAGCAAATAAATATTAATCACAGTTAAGCATGCAAATTGTATTAGCTATGCAGACCATGCAAAACAAACCGATAAACAAATGTTAATGTGTTGTTTCGATCACATGATATATTCATACGAATCTGTTTCACTACGAACAGTACATGCATCATCATCTGGAGGAACTTCTATATCTACGTACACAACACGAAGTGTATTTGTAAATCCTGAGCCTTGTCGCCATCCAGTGACAACTACAACTGAATCTCCGGTTTTAACGAAACCACGACTTTTGCCGAAGTTCAAACCAGTCTGAACTCGGACATCAACATCCTTCACCCAATCAGCCAATGGCGCATCTGTACATAATTGAAGGAATTATAATTTCAGAATTTATTTAAAAATGACGAGCAAATCAAGATTAATTTCTGATATCTGATAAACTTTAAATTAACTTGAATTTTAATGTTTTATTACCTTCGTAGTAGAGTGGGAGAATACCACGGTGCAAATGTGCTTGTCGTGCAACTTGGTGGAATCTAGTTACTGCAATAATTGGGCAACGGGGCCGATATTTTGCGATCAGATGTGCTGAACGACCAGTGGTTGTAATTACAATAATGGCACTTGCTAAACACTTCACAGATGCTTCAACAGCGGCAACTGCGACGGCATGTGTAGCATCAACTGGAGGCAGTGCTTTGTTCGCCAGATCATGGAAGATTTGAATTTGCCAAATGGCGGCTTCTGCTTCTTTGCAGATGTTGGCCATTGTACGCACACATTCCAATGGATACTCTCCTTTAGCAGTTTCACCTTAATACACCACAATAAATATCATATAGATGTCGATACTGACTACATATTTTTAAATATTATTCAATTTATTTCGTCACAAAGAATCAGAATATTTTAACGTACATTTACATATACGCAAAATATAAATTATACCGTACCTGATAACATGACACAGTCTGCACCATCAAGAATAGCATTAGCCACGTCTGATGTTTCAGCTCTGGTCGCGCGCGGTTTCTTCACCATAGATTCAAGCATCTGTGTAGCGCAAATGACTGGTTTTCCAACTTTGTTGCATCTGCTGATCATGCACTTTTGCGCCAAGAACACTTTCTCCGGTGGTATTTCAATACCAAGATCACCACGTGCTACCATGATACCATCGGAAGCTTCGATGATTTCATCAAGATTTGTCATGCCCTGTTGATTTTCAATTTTCGATATGATTTTAATGTTCTTGCCCTTCTCGCCAAGAATGGATCGAATTTCCGTTAAAGCCGCAGCGTTTCTGATGAATGAAGCAAAGATCATATCAACTTCTTGTTCAACACCGAACTGCAAGTCGGATTTATCTTTCTCAGAGACAGCTGGTAAATCGACTGGTACACCAGGCAGATTGACACCCTTACGAGAACCTAACATTCCACCGTTTTCTATGGTTGTCGTAATTACTTCGGGACCTGAAATATACCAAAGGTAATTATTATAAAATTCATGTCACTAAGGAATATAAATGTTATATATTTCAGATGATACGCACTGACTGCAGTAACGATGAGGGAAATCAAACCATCATCAACGAAGACACGGTTTCCAACCTTCAGTACTTTAGAGATATTGTCATAATCCACATAAACCAAATTGGCGTTTCCTTTTTCCGCATGAGCCTTATCAGTGGACAGTTTGAAGGTTTGGCCCTTCTGCAACTCAACTTCTGCAGAGCCACCCTAAACAAATTTAATTAACAAATATTTTAACTGAAGTTATGTGATTACAATGCTTACATCTACACGCATTTACTTGACAGAACTTAATTATTCAATATACAGATTTCATAACATACTTGACTGTGAAACAGATAATATGGTATTACATTAAACTAAAGTGGTTAAACAACGTGTAATCTTAAAAATGTTAATGCAGTGATGACTAAGTACTCGTCACCTCACGATCCCCACCATCGGGTACTGTCTTATCATTACTTAAGGAGATATTGAAGAAGCTATACGTGCAATGAACTGTCAGTGTTATAACATAGTGACAAGAACTGGTCTTACAATATGAGGAGTGGCACCAGATAAATGTTCCTCGTTCTCACTCTTCTCAAGTTACATGAATGCTTACACAAATATGACCACTTTAACAAATGATGGTAATATCTGTACTGTTGTATTACAAAAATCTACCGTAGTACAATCAACTGAATCCACATGACTTCTGCTCATCACCTTTTTAGCTGTATACAGCAAGTATGAGAACAGTTGTACAGTGGATACTCTTCTCAAGTTACATGAATGCTTACATAGATATGGCCATTTTAACAAGCGACGAGAGTATGTCTACTGTTGTATTACAAAAATGTTCTACCATAGTACAATCAACTGAATCCACATGACTTCTGCTCATCACCTTTTGAGCTGTATATAGCAAGTATGAGAACAGTTGTGCAGTGGTTACAAAAAGACTACCATAATATAACTAACAGAATTCACATTCTTTTCACTTGTCATCTCTTTAACATTATACAGTTGTAACATCTCTAACATTATACAGTTGTAATATCTCTAACATTATACAGTTGTAACATCTCTAACATTATACATGTGATAAAAGTTTCTGTACAGCTCAGTAGAGTAAAAATAAGGATTGTAAAGTGACTGACGAGCTATTTATTCATCACTGAGGGTGAATTAAAAATGAACTACATACTCCTTCCAAAAGTCCAGTACGAATCTCAGGACCTTTGGTATCAAGAGCAATCGCTACAGGAACATTGAGGCCATTACGAGCGGAGAGGTTCTTCTGCGCTTGTCGCACATTACTAATAGTTTCTGCATGGTACTCATGAGACCCATGGGAGAAATTCAATCGAGCAATGTTCATGCCAGTTTCGATCATTTTTTCAAGGGTTTCAACGGATCTTGAAGCCGGTCCAATTGTGCAAATGATCCCCGAAAGGCGGACAAAGGATGCTCGGCTTTCGATATCCAGGGCACACATGTGATCCAACTGGCTTTGAGCGTATAAAGCTTGGGTGTTCGGTTTTCCGGCCATCTGCAAAAATGTAGAAAGATTAAATTCTATCGAATTCTTGTAAACTATTTAAGTGCAAACAATTGCACAACTACCACTGCAAACGATTCAAATATCTAACGGCTTATCTTTAAAGCGTCCTGAGGCTTTGGTGTGATATTCAAGTAAAAAGTTGCTACTGCTCAAAAATAATTAAAAAAAGACTAAGAAAACGCGAGTTGATCTCATCTCTGTTTTAAGGTTCCTTTTACATCCATAGCTATATGTAAGCACATATAAAAATCAAACCCCAATTAGTTTATATTTTAATCTAGCAAAATTTTAAATGAAGAAATAAGAAAAGTAGTGAAAATATTCCATAAAATAAATTTACAAATAAAACAATATAAAAGTTATTGTATAAGTTGTTAATGTTATGTACTTATTAGTATGTTCCACAGATACCCCCACATTACTACTGTTACACTATATACAGATTTGAATAAAAATGCACTAAAAAAAAAAGGTGCAATTAAAGCATACAGAAAGTATCATAAATAAATTGGGATTTTTAAAAATTGTTTAAAGGACGTTCAACAAAATTACACTATTATTATTTTAATTCATAATGGGAAAAATAATTATTATAGCACCATCTTGAAGTAAACAATGTAATTTTTTTTATAAATTATTTGAAAATGTATATTTATTTTTCTTTGGCAAAATAGATATATTTTTTAGTGAATTAAAAGTATACTAATCATTTTATTTTTTAATGTAGTAAAGCTATACTAATAATCTTATTTTTTAATATAGAAAAATTGTACTAACTATTTTAAATATTAAATTAAATAATAAGGTAAAAAATCGTAGTTTTGCACAAGTACCTTGCAAATTATTATAATAAAAAATATAACAAATTTCATTGACATGTGTAAAATAAAATAACTCCTACAAAATTAATAAATATTCAATTTCATTATACTTTTCAACATTGAAAATTTGATATAGTTAAAATACTTTAATAGTAAAAGAACAATTTAGCACACGATGGCAAATGCATTAGTAACTCTTGAGTCAACTGAAAGAAAGAAATCAAGGACATGTGCAAAATGGATCTACAAACTCTTAACCGTACATTCGCTTGCGATTTTTTCCCGCATGCTGTTCGCAAACGTTCTGCGCAGTCTTGTTAATACATGCAACCCAAAAACGAAAACACACAAAGGCAATAGAGAAAAATAAAAATCACTCCAAAAACAGTTTTCTTCGTTGGCTACTAAGTATGCTGAAAATACCTTATCGTCGACGGTAACCCAAACCATTTTGGCAGGCTGCGCAAATAAATTAGAGACAGAAATTAGTGACAATACAGTTTCGATGAGACCACGGCTTTGTCTGGCTGCATTTGTTGGTGCGCAAGGTATAAATTGCTTATTGGACAAGCAACGGAAGTTTTGCGACAAACGAAAGTAGAGAGGGAAATTGAAGATATCCACAGGACGCATTAGACGATGACGGTACCAGTGCACACAGCAGATATACCCAAATTCGAATCGCGCCATTTTATTTCGGAAATAATTTCTAGTACCGATCTTCTCTTACACATAACATCAAGTATTAATCTGAGCCAATCAAGAACAATTTACATTAATGCTAATATAACTGCTAATAAACAAGTAAATAAATATCAAGTTAGTAATATGTATTTTGCTACTGCAAGAACTTTTGAAAGAAGAAGTTAGTTGTTCAAGATAAATGTACAATAATAGTTTAATTGTGTAAATAAATATAGATACTTTAATATTAAACATTTTATTGTGAACATTCAACTGAATATTATAAAAATTGAATTTTTCCAACACATCTGACTATATAATTATTTATATTTGCACTATATAATTATTTATATAATTATAGTAACATAGCTATGTAAGAAATTTCACATGAAAAATAAAACCTGATTTAAAACAATTAATTCATAATTAAAGTGTTATATTATATTCAAAATAATAGTCATTTTGTTACATAAATATTTAAGGAAAAATAACTAAATATTTAAAAAGCTAATGTATTTAATTTTTAAATAAAATAATTTAACCCTAAAATATTCTTTTTGTGTTTTTTTTTCCATCAATGTCCTGTCATTTTTGAATAATTTAAAAAAAAAAATGTTAAAACGAATATCTTGAGAAAAATTGCATTCAAAGATAACATAATTGTATTTACAATGTTGACAAATTTATCACTTCAAGATAACAAGACATAACAGGGATTCAATAAATCAATATTATATAAATAAAAATCAGTAATTAATCAAGAATTAAATAATAATTAACCTGAAAAGTGTCATGTGAATCGATACCGAAAAGAAATATAGATTTGCCTAGCTTACCAAAACGTTTTCAATATAACATTTAATAATTTTTTTATAGGCGTATCAAAATAAAATTAATAAATTATTTTAATAACGAGCTTGAATATACCATAAACGTTAGTGAGTATAATAAATTATGTAATAGATATACTCTTTTAGGATAAAAAAAATCGTCTGTCTGCACTGATTTCCGCCATCGTCTGGAGATATGTGAACTTTGATTAAATTAATTATGTAATTTCCGAATGTGAGTACTAAAAATAGTATTATATATTTAGTAATAAATTATGTGTATTTTTTTGTTTTATTTCGATATTTAATTCTGGAAAGCATCCCGTGCTCGTTTACCAACTTTAGTATTAATTATGATTATATGACAATGGATGTCATAAAATATTAATCAAAATTAGTGAAGTAATCTACATATGTGTTTTAAGATAATAAGCAGTGTCTTATAACTATGCTAGAAGAATCACTTTAGTGATAAGTATTTGTAATTTTTATATTATATTGTACATTGTATGTAAATGATTAATAAAAACAATATTTCAAAATATTAATACTTACAAATTACTTTTGTGCTATTTTGCAACTGGAAAAACTTAATTTTATCTCTTCTCTTTCAAAGTAAATATTTTTTATGTTATAAAAATGTGGTACTCATAAATTATATAATGGATTAATCCATAATATGTAATTTATAGTTACAGTATTAATAAACGCGAGATTATCTTGATCGATAACGAGATAAGTGGATTACCAATATCCGCAGAAAAATTGTAATTGTCGCATTCCGTTTATAAAATATTCCGTAATCAAACTTGTTCGATTTATAATTACCTAATAATTTTTTTTCATTTATAATTACAAAATAAATACCCGTAAATATATTAGTAAAACGTGTGTAGAAAAATTATGATATTTCTTTAATTATTTATTACAACTTTCAAAAGACATATGCATAATAATTTAGGTTACGCGCGAGTTATGTGCGTTCAAATACGTCAAAATAATATATTTTATGATAGTGCGAACGCTGCAAGTTGTGTAAAACATTGTATCTCGCTACTAGACTTAAGCAAAATTAGCAATGCAAACAATGTAAAAGGTGAGCACCTGTTATTAATAGCATTTGAAATTGCTCGTAAAAAATCCGATATGTAAATCATAAGTTTACTTTGAAATATAATTTTTTATTTTCAGTTAATTCTTATTAACAAATTAATTCTGATAGAAAATTTATTTAGAAAAGTTGTGCAGAAAATTTAAAGCGAATTCCGGAATGTTTACTGAAAGAAAATAGAATTTTCAAAAACACGTAAAGGAATGTGTATTTTGATAAACCTACGTGATATGTCCTTGAGGAAAAATGTGAGATATTATGGCAATAAAATAATGACGCAATAACAGAAATGATAAAAAAAATATGAATTGCATCAAAACTGAACTATGTATTCGATCGTAATTTTTGCTATGAAAATTTAAAAAATTGTTTAAACAAAATGTCGAAAAGTTAAACCGTATTTAATTATATTATTACACTTTTCTTTCGTTTTCCTCAATTTCGAAGTTGAATGGAATTTTTATACTTTTATCATTTAATTAAAGATGTGATAAATACGATGATCTATCGATAAGCCACGTGAAAAAAACGTGTTGATCAAAAAGATTGTCCAAGACACGTTTCCAAAGTGTAAACTTGAAACAGGAAGTACTAGAAAAATTAATTTACTAGATAATATATTTCGACATTGTATGACATTGTTGCCCTTGCGAAAAGATTTCAAAGTCATTGAAATAGGTTATGTAGGTACTCGTAAATGATATAACTACCTTGACTTTGAATTGCAAGATCAAGGTTATGACTTTCTCCTATTGCAATTGCATTCTATGAATTGCAAGAATAAAAAGTGTAGAGGAAACCATGAATCATGACTCAACCACTTCCTTGAAAAATTGTGTTAAAGTTTTATTAATTTTCAAACACTGATTTTATTCACATTTCAAGTTAGATATAATACAAGCTAAGATCAGTGTTATGTACTTATTTACTGCTAAACACAATATTTATCACTTTAGTTTTCAAACTGACTATGTGTATATTTCAATGTCAGATGCAATATAAATAGTTCCAGAGCTGTTACTTCTATATTTATTTGAGAGATTACTGTTACTGTATTTAAAATAAGACTAGGGACACAAATATGAGGAAATAAACAGCCTATTTAATAAACTTTAAATATATCCTCCAAAAGTTCTCTGACTGAAATCAGATAAAATATTGTGTATAAAAATTTGTGCATCATAGATTTCTGTACAATTTTTCTAGTGTCCATCTATAGAATTTTTGTCAAACAATATAATCATTTGACTTTATTAGACCAACTATTCTACGTAAGCCCATCAGCAGATAAACATGTACATAAATGATAACATTCTTCCCTATACGTCATTAGATACAAGGATAACCCACTGCCCCTTTGTCAGGTGAAGAGTTGCTCTATCAATTCTTAGTCATTGAACTGTTGACCCATTCAATGAAGTTCATGGCAATCCAGACCTTTTCTGGACATATCAGTTGACATATTTCATCAATAACACTCTATCTAAACTCTAACTCTAAGGTATAAATATATTATAAATAAAATCAGATGAATATTTTAGCAATTGATGGTTCCTTTTGCATTTCTTATCCTTACAATAATTAGAATACAATGCAATAAAAAAATGTTGACTTTGATTTTTAGGTTCATGGTGAATTTTATGACTGCCATTTTGTTTTATTTCCAACCAAACTGAAAGTGTAAGATCCATCTCTAGCATATAGTTTTTTAATGCAAAACACTGATTATTTTAGTGCAGATTACATAATTGTCTTGTGTACTATATAATACATTATGTATATATTATACAAGACAATCATACAAGTATAAAGCCAGATTCAAAAATCTTATTTACCCTCATATGAACTTTCAATTTGTTTTTGATACATGGTGTTAGAATGAAAATATCAAATTAATTATTCTGTATCAAACAAACCTATATTTAATGAAATTTGATATTAATCATGTTTGCAATAATAATTAAGATAATACATGGCAGCTGATTAAGTGTTATCAACAAAGCTCATTACAAAATTTGATTTGATTTGATGTAGTATGATCATGTATGAAATGTGATAACATTATCACACTCTACTAGCATGTTATGAACTGTACTCTATTCATGATACACTAAGATATTGCAACATTAATTAAGCATTCTTATGATATTTGAATGAAACGATCGACAGCATGAACTATTATACAATCATGATCATGTGTAGTTCAAAGTCATGCATATCTTATTCTTTTTCATTCGACTAAAAGAGATGTGACAATACAATCTATGATAATATTCATCACAGGGTTATACAATATAATTACATTATTTCAAATTTTAGATAAAAAGACAAGTAGATTCTTAATTTTGTACTTAATATTTTACTCATTCATTATATTGTCATAATATATTAAATATAATTAGTTTCTGTACATATAAATACAATTAAATTGAGTAAAAAGTTTCACAAAAAATTGTATCTTTGCTGACATATATTAAATAGTAATTAATATAAAATTATTGATATCAGACAACTATAAATGTGTACTTTAATAACTGCTGTACTTGTCATTACATAAAACATATGTCAAATATACAAATAAATCTCCTAAGTTCTTGATTGTAATTTTAACAAATAGTACAACATTTTCAGACATAAATATAAAAAATTTTACTCATAAATATAAAAGAAGCTCATTATAATGACATAAATAATTAATTAAAAAAATAATTTCATACATTATAATACTGAACTTAAATTAAAACAATAAAAGCACATTGTAAAAATTTTGACATAAATTATAGACAATAGAATAAGAAAAACAAATTTTTTAGTTGAGTTATATATCAATAAAAAGAATATACCATAAAAAGTAAAGAAGTCGTACAATAATGTCTGAAAGATTTAAAAACGGTTTTGATAAAGATGCCCAATTCTTAAGTGACTTTAAATTTTTCAAGGTTAATGCTATATTCAATCCACACCTTGTGTTTTATGTAAGTACCTCTATCCGAAAAAACTCATAATTATATATTATAATATTGTACGTATATATAACAGAGCCTACATGAAATAAATAAAAATTTTTAAGTACACGTAAATGCTAAGATATTGAAATATATTGGGTGTAACAAATATTAAAATTTCTTAAAACACATAACCTTTTAAGATTATCACTGCCTACAGCGGCATCGAAAATACAATTTTTTAATTGAAATATGTAATTTGTTATTACCTTTTTAAATTATTTAAACTGAAGTAAAATTTAAGAAAACAGAAATCAATGAACAACGCAGAAGTACACCAAGATCAACGTTCTCCCACTACGGCCTCTGAGAAACTGTTTTAAGGACACCAAAGGTCATTATTTTCTAGTACACTTTATCTATTATCTTCAGGCTGATTTTCAATTCAAATCTAGTTTTATTTTTTCAAAGTTGCTATTCAATAGGAGAGATGGCGGGAGCATCGGATTGCCATAATGACATTTTCAAATTTATTGATTAGGTTAAAAAACAAAATAATATATGTAGCACCTTTGAGGTCTTTATAATTGTTCTTCTAAAACAGCAATGCGTTAAATAAGCTTGTAGACAGAAGAAAATCCTCATATTTACATAAATAAACCCTACTAATCAGTTTAAGTTGCAAATCTTGGTACGAACATTTGTTTTCACGTAACCGCCACAATATGTGTTTAGTGAAATTGTTGTTAAGGCGGGTTCTTCTTGTTCGCATCCATTTTATTTACCAAATTAATAAGCGAATTTTATAATAAACTAAAAAAAAAGAACAATGTAAGTAAGATAAAAAAAAGTACGTTGTTCTATAAAACAATACACTAACTCAACGGCAAGTTTTCTTTTTAGTGCTAACTGTTCTATTCCTCATCCAAACTATGGTCGAACGTAGTTTCAGTTACATGAACGCATATTATGATGAATGTTTACAAACATCCTTTTATATTCAAAATAAATTATATATGTGTCGGGGAAGGAACAGGTGAACATGATATAAATATGTAACAGCGGCGATGTACATTTAAACATCAATTACTGTTAAAACTTGATGTGTCTGTATTTAGCAATATGTCCTGCAATAAATCTTTAAAAAGAAAAAGGGTAGTGCTCAGTCTTGATGAAAAATGTGATATTCTCAGACGATTAAAAACGGGCGAAACTGGTACTGCTTTGTCACAAAAATACAATATTGGCAAATCAACTATATCAGCAATAAAATCGAATGAAGATAAGATTTTGAAATATCAAGCAAATATGCTTGTTAATGGAAACTATGGGAGTAACAAAAAGAGTATGTCAACTGCAGAAAATGACCATTTGGAAAGTGCAGTTTTTCTATGGTTTTTGCAACAGCGTACTATAGGCACACCAATTACTGGTCCAATTTTATGTGAAAAGGCTTTGCAATTAAATAAAAAAATTGGGGGTAGTACAAATTTCAAGGCTAGTAAAGGGTGGTTACGAAATTTCAAAGCACGTCATGGAATACGTTTATTAAATATTCAGGCTGAAAAACAGTCTATAAATGCAGAAGCTGGTGAAACATTCAAAAAGAATTTATGTGACTTTATACAAGAACAAAATTATTCAGAAGACTGTATATATAATGCAGATCAGAGTAGTTTGTGCTGGAGGTCTTTACCTCAGAAACAGCTTTCAGTAGATTGTAAAACATATGAAGACAGAGTGACTATTATGGTTTGTTTTAATGCCACAGGTTCACATAGACTTCCATTGTTTATGATTGGGAAAGCTCAAAAACCCAAGTGCTTGAAATATATTAGCAGTCTTCCTATTATTTATAAAACACAAAAGAATGGGTGGATGAATACTGATTTATTTAAATCATGGTACCTTTTAGATTTTATTCCAAATGTAAAAAAGTATCAGGAAGAAAGTGGGAGGAAAGGAAAAGTTTTGCTCATATTAAATAATGTACCATTGCATTCTTTAAAAGAGTTAAATGCACTTACAGATGAAATGTTTCATATTAGGTTTCTTCCAATAAACATAACATCTGTAATACAATCAATGAATCAAGGTATAATTGAAAAAGTTAAAAGAACATATCGCAAACATTTGCTAAATAGCATACTGGGTGAAGATAAACAAAATTTAGATGTATTACACTTTTTAAAACATTTTGCACTACAAGACTGTTGCCATATAATACATAAAGCATGGAACCTAGTCACTAAAGAAAATCTATACAAAGAATGGAAGAAACTACTTTATGATAAACAAAAGATAGAAGTAATAGATAAAGAAACAAATAATGATATAGAAGAAATTTTACAAATTCATCATGTTGCAAAACGTATTTCATGTAGTGACAATTGGGAAATTAAGGACACTATAAACTGGCTTAGGAGTGATGAAAATGACCACAGTTTTCAAGTTTTGAATGATGAAGAAATTATATGCGAAGTTGCAGGATACAATGCTATTAGTGAAGCAGAAGAAATGGAAAGTACTGAAGAACCTGAATCCAGTACAGCAAATGACTATAATAAAGAAACAATTCCTACTGATGCTCATGCATTAGCTGCTTTAAACATAGCTATCAAATGGTTTGAAGCACAGGCAGAATCAAATATTGTTGATTTGCAACGCCTTAATTATTTAAGAGATCTTGCAAGCTCAAAAATTTTTAATAAATAATTGTTTTATATTATTAAATTAAATTTTATGTTTCATCGTTTTTGAATAAATTATATATAATAATATATGATCAGAAAAACTGTAAATATACGAAAAATACGAAAAAATATTGCTTCTTCGTTTTAAATTCATCAAAGAACAAAATCACTGATGTTCTTATCTTTCCTGTAAAGTGCAATCCAGAAAATACGAGGATTCCCAATTATTTTAGAAATTTCTCGGTTTCATCACCAGAGGTCTCTAATATTCCCTAGACCCTTATAATTGGATGCAGTGTTCTTTGCTTTTGATTTGATAAACCGGCCGGCGAGTGAGCCAATTAGAAAATGTTTTTATGAGTTATTTGAATGCATCCCGGTGTATTCTCCTTACATTTATAAACAGCGACGGCTAAGAAGTACGGACTTTGCTATATGGAATCCACCCATATATTCTTACATCTATGATTCTTGAGTTCTTACGGATTTTTTAATCTACCTATTGTAAGCCTTGCATCGTCTCTAACGTTTTCTTGATCTCAAGTACCATAAGAGGAATAGTATTACCATAATTATTTAATTAGTGTAATTTTTAAGTGATGCGTTTTTACTATTTCGGTATATATTTATATACATAATACTTTTGGTATAAATATAAAAAATAATCATATATAATCTTTAGTGGAAAGTTAACCTAAATATTAGTTGAAGTGTTAGAAAAAATATTCTAATGCATTTAGAATCAACATTTTAAGTGTAAGTATTTCATTTTGTAAAAATAGTGGAAGTAAAATAAGTAACTATTCAGTGTTTGTGTATTCAATCCTGTACATATTGTCTTTTTTTATTAAAAAAAATAATAGCAATACTTAAAGTCAATAAAATGTACAGATATTTTTTTGGATACATTTGTTACTATTTACAATAAGATGTAAAGCAATTATTGAATAGAAGCTAATAGTATTTTGTTCTTATATCAATTTGTAATTAGGATTTTACAGCAAAGTAATTATATTTAGGATGTTTGTTTTATATTATTACTTATAATATATAGTATTGTAGTAATTATTTTTAATGAAATAATAGTTATGTTTATTTCATTAAATAATGTAACTAAAAACTAATGAAATTAATCATATAATTAATAAATACTAAAATTTGTTTTCCTATAATTTTATGGTAGTGGTGCATGTGCCTGTATTGTAAGTTAAGTATTAATTAAAATTAATATTACGAATTAAGAATACTGTAATGTTATTTTAATATTTTTTTAAATAGTTTAGAATACATAGTTAAATTAAATGCATGTAAACTAACATATATATGCATAACTGGAGATTAAATTTATTTTGACAAAATTTGTGTATATTGTATTTATTTCAAAATAATTTAATTTACAACAAGTAGAATGATCATATATGTAAGTGTTCCCATACACATTCATATGTATATATATTTTCAAAATTAAAAAAATATATTGTTTCAAGGATTTTTTGTTTACAGTTATAAAAAGAGTAGTTTTTCATGTGGTAAATACACTGTTATATATAAAAAAATATAATTCTGTACATGGCAATGTAAATATAATCATATTTTTAGGAATGTATGAAATATTATAATACTCTTTTATACCCAATTTGAGAATAGATAGTGATTTTAAATATCTTTCTGTTAATAACTGCACAATTGTACACAAAACAATAACATTTGTTTTCCATTTGCAAAGTGATTTGTAAAATCACATATTAGCATAACAATAATAAATTGTAGATATTATGAATATCAATATACTTTAACATTTGTACGAACTTGGACATTAAAACTTTAAAAAATGATAACATAAAATATATAAAAATTTTATGCAAGATATTTCACAACATGCATATAAATTTGATAATAAATTTAACGTAAGAACCAATGCTTGTCCTATTTGAATTTGCCTTTTTTTTGCTGTTCTATAAATATTATTTACATTATAAAAAGTGTAATCAATTTTTAACATATTAATCTAAGTAGAAAATTAGATTAATAAGAATTTGGAAATCATCATGTAAAATATTTATCAATATTTGGATGGATTATTGAATGAGGTAAATTACCTCAATTTATAAAGAGCAATGAAATATAAAACAGCTCTAACTTAAAAATATTAGGACAAACCTTTAGTGCCTATTTTCATCATTTGTGCTAACTTTTTGTTTTGTACAATTCCTACATAGATATATCTCCACCTAATTGGTTGATTATGATTTCAATATTCCAACAGGATAGAATCCAAAGTTAGTTCTCAATTGTTCCAAGAAGACAAAAGTAAGAATGGTATGTGGAGCCAATCTAACAAATGCTGGTACATATCCCTAAAATCAGATACTCAATAGGTTTTCAAGTTATAATCTTTCTCAGGTCATACTTTAGTAATATATACAATTAAAATGCACATATATAATGATAAGTAATTAACGTATTAAATAAAACAATAACATTATTAATTTCTTAAGTATTTCTTTATGTAGCAATAAGCAAAATTGTAGAACTTACCTTGAAGAAGGCTAGTGGCCCAAGTTTAGCAGTATACAAAAATAAATCCATTAAGCTCTATAAAACAGAATGTAATGTATAATTAAAAGTATTATAACATATTTGAGTAGTAATTTCATTAGTGATATTACCTTAAATTCTCCAGGTTTAGCATTCATTGCACGTGTCTTCAAAACATCTAATGGTTGTGTAAGAGTTGTAGCTACTGCACCCTTATATTAAAAGAACTATATAAATAAAATACTAATTTATAAAGTAAATAGGATAAGTTATTTATGGCATAACAAGATTAATTTCTATACTGGAGAAAGGTATTTTAAATATATTTAATTATTACAGTACTGAAAATGTTATTCAATTTAACTATTATTTACTTTATATTACTCTATTAATCATTTTTTTTCATTGATTACTTATCAATCTAAATTATGAGGAATCTAAGAGATAAGTATAATGTTGCAATCATCTAAAGCTACTACTACGTTTGTTACGTAATATTTTATAGTTCTAAAGTTTAAATAATATCATTAAAGATAAATTACTCACTACATGCTATATAATTATACAATTGTCATTTGTAATATATATTGAAAAAAGTTTATGATACTTTTCTTAAAATATCAAATACTTATTACATACCACTATTACTTACATTCAAGTAAATGATTGTATCATAAATATGCCAATAAATAAGACATAATAAATAAGTTACGTGAATAATTATATGGAAAATTTACAAGCAAAGTATTTCAAACAAAATGAAATCTTTGAAATATTTCTTGTTTTCAATAACATGACAATTACTTACTAAATGTATTTATAAAATCTTTAAAATAGAAAAGTGAGGTTGAGCATGGTTAAACAAGAATTGAATATTGTATTATTAACACAGTAGAAGTAAAATAAAAAAGTAAGAACTAAAAAAATATAAAAATCTAACAAATTAACATTGCAATTCATTGCACGTTATGTGAGAGGTCTATCTCTCCTAAAACACCATGCTTTCAGAAAATCAGAAACGCAAACTCGTGTCATTTAAGAAATTATATTTAAATAACTTACTCTTCATGTTATACTTTATATTATGTTTCATATTATATAGATACTGTTTAAACATACTTACTGCACACACACTTGATAATACATGAGTTACAGGATTATCTTCAAAATAACCACTTTCAATCATTGTAATTTTTATTTGATCATAAAAACTCAGTTGTCCAATAGTCATTAAAGCGGCTCTTAATGTTGCTGTAGTACATCCACTAAATAATTTACTAAAACCTTCTTGTTGAACTATACACACTATTCCATCCAAAGCATGCTTATAACTACAATAATTAATATACAATAGAAATAAAAATATATTACATAATAAATTTTACACTTACTTTCTTCTAAGTTCTGGTGCAAGTTTTATGTCATTTTGCATGCGTACATTAATTACATCTCCTGGTGTTCCAAGAACTCCACCAACTGCACCAGAAAATCCAGCTAATAACAATTTTTGATAAAATAACAACGAATGTCCAGGTTTCTCAAAAGTTTGTTTGCCTACCTATGTATGTATAAATCGTTAAAGATATATAATAAAAGTGTGCATTGTATATAATATAAAGAAATTTACTTCATACGCTCCAAATCTCGTTGTAGAATATGTAAGCTGACGGAGTAGAGAAGCACTAAGACCATTATATAAAGCTAAAATTCCTTGATTTTTTACTATAGACGTTGTCAATCGTACTACAGATAATTTACCTTCTTGCTGTGTTTGTAAATGAACCTATAATATGGGTATGCATACTTTCTTTAAATGTAACAGTATACTGACTCTTGTTAATATGATATTAATATATGGAATATACGTCTTTTCATAATTTTATTGTTATATAGAGAAAACAATGAAAAGGTAATATTTTTATTGTACAAAACAAATTACCTTTAGTAAGTCTAAAGGGTGGGTTACACAAGCAGCACCTGCTGAAGAAAGTCCACCAAAATACCATCGTGCTAACTTTTTTGTTTTATCTTCCATATTTTTTATATTTTGTTATTGCACCTTAACAAATAAGTATTATTTTTTTCAAAATATAACTAATTTAATATTAGGACTAAATTAAGATACATACCTTTTCTTTTTATATATTTACATAGTATCTTTTTATATATTTACATATTTACATAATTATAAATTTTTTAACAAAATGGAAGCTGTAAATAAGTAATAAAATAACATTTATAATCTAAATGAAAATTTGAAACCAAAAATATTTTATTTAAATTAATAAACAAAATGTTTAAAAATTTATATAAATACGCGCTTGCTCGCATATATATGTTATAATAAAGATTTTAAACAAATTATTGAATAATATAAAATATGAAGTAGAAAATTTCTCATGAATTTTATGTTATAATTAATTCTATAAATAGTGTTTGATTTATGTTATTCATACACTCAAATTTTCTTCACATTTCGATTTATAGTAAAAATAAAAACCATTAACAGTAGTTCTACTTACTATGTTACACGTGCAACATGAACGTTTAATCGTGACTCGTTATAAATTAATTCTAATTTGTATGTAGCCTACATAAACTGTTTTCGCGAGCGTCAAGTACAAAGTTCTATAGAATATATCATAGTAATCGTAATAAATTATTTATTAAATAAAAATATACTAGAAATAGTAAAAAGTATAATACATGAAAATCATTGTATATAAATTTGAACAAAAAATAAGTATTCATAAAAGAATTAAACTTTTACAACCATTAATAAATAAAAATGTATAAATATATTGTAAAGTATGACTGAAACAAGTAAGAAAAATACACCATAACAAATATAAATATGCAAAAAGTGGTACTTACACTGCTTCATGCTATGAGCGGTATCTGTAGCTCAGCGTTAGGGTGAGAATCTCTAAACAATCTAAACTTCGGGTGATGTAACATTCCAAATCAGTCAGCAGTCTGGAAAGTCGGTGAACGCGCACACATCAGCTGACAGCCACGTGTTATACCACCTCCTTTCAAGGTTGCTACTTCTTATCGACATATCTATTGGCGAATATGATTCGGTTTGTTTCGCACATTTTTTTTTTTTTAAGTTACTGATTACTCGCAAACATAACTAAGGATTATAAGAAATAATTGCTAACGTAAGAGCTACTTAAACACGATTAGTACTTATTGAAAAAAAATGTTACAAAACAACAAATGTATTTATGCTAAACTCTCAACAAAACCTTCGTTTTATTTGCAAGAAATAAATTGCAGCAATAAGAAGAATATATTATTAGCAGCACCAAGTAAAATATATTAACTATAACTGCATTGAGTGTATAAATGATCTGTTCAGACTTATCTGTACAAATCTTTTGCTTCAATTTTTGTATCTTTTATAAAATAGAGATTATTTATTTGTATTGAACTAATGTTAAAAGAATCTATAAATATGCTCTTAAGACACTTATAACATTTTTACCATTTATACGTAATGAATGCATTGCATACATAAATAGGTATAAAGGTTATTATTATTTGAATATTCATAATTTTTATTAAAGATGTCTTATTGAAATGTAAAAAAATCGTGCTTTTATCGGTGATATTTTTGTGACCAATTGAATAATTATATTTAAACTAGAGTTATATACCTTCCCGAAAGTACCGGGCAGGGAAAGTCCCTTTTTGACATCATTGAAGACAATGTTTTTTGACTTTTCCATCATAGTTGTCCACACACTTGCAAAGCAGCATTGAAACTGTTTTATAATTCATTATTGAGAGGCGGAAAGTATAAATATGTACTGCAATTTGATATAATTATCGGAAATATTTCTTTTTCAACTCGACTGCAGCGCCATTATTTCAGTGGCATATTGGTTAAGTGGGTAAAGTAGATCGCGTTTTAAGCATTGAGTTCTAAAACTCAATGTTTGTTCACGACTAATATGAAAGAAAAGAAACAACAGCAAGCTTGAAGACTGTTAAACAGATTATGAAGAATTGGACGAAGATTTAAGAATTTATACCTTACGTTCTATTATGCTGAAATATATGTGATATCAATTGCTAGGTAAATTGAAAAATAGAAATTTACTTTCCTATAAACATTTCGAACGAACTTAGTATGCAATGCTAACAATTGAAATCTGTATAAATAATTTATTGTTATTGGTTTTATATGAAACAAATAAATTTAAATTATGAATCGAATTAACAACATGTATAATAAGAGTAGTGTTTTCTTTATAATGGAATTTAAGTTTGATAAGTTAGATGTTATATTGTAGATTATAGGTTAGTTTCTATATACTATAACAGAACTTTTATTTCATTATTTTTAGCGTAAATGATGTGTAGCATAATGGATTCAGTGTCCAATACACTTGGTATTGATAAAGTAAATATGGGTGGAAAATTAATATTAATCGAAGAGCAACATGATAGCAATGCAAACTTCTTATTAAGTGCAGTTATCTCGAATGCGCTAAAGAAAGATTATGGAATATGCTTTGTACTTTTCCATAACACTTTCAACCATTATCATAATGTGGGTATGAAATTTGGCTATAACCTTGCCTTATTAAAAGAAAAGAATATAGTTACTTTTATAGAACCAATAAAAATCGAAGCACTTGAAATGGAAAATATGTATAAAAAAACAATGAACAAAGTAATTGATAGTTTATTTATGACTGTTAGAAATGAATACAGTAAAATGATGAAACTTAATAATCGTGTGATTATTATAATTGATGATTTAAGTCATCTTTATAACTTTGGATTTGATTTAAAACAGTCTATGTATTATATAAGATGGTTAAGATCACTCGTTGAGAATGATAATGTATCCCAACTTTGTATTCTGACACACACCTATATACATGAAGTACAAAGCTGGTTTAATACGTTTATAGATGCTCTTAAATATATGGCTCATTTATATGTTAAAGTTGAGCCTTTTAAAACAGGGTATTCCAGTGATGCATCTGGCAAAATGACAATTAATTGGAGGGTTGATCCCATTAGATGCAACCATAATTGGCCAGAGGTAGCAAAATACATATATAAATTATCAGACCGTCAAGTGCAAATTTATGCATCTGGAATATGAACTGTATCAAATAAATTTTTATAAAGCTGGTTTAGAATTTTTTACTATACATGATCCCATATTAAAGTACAAATAAAATACATTGCAAATTTGTTATAAATATTGTATCTTATGAACTAGTATTTCTTATGAAATATATTACAAGCATGAAGTGCTTTGGAAACACTTCAATGTGATACTTAATAGAAGGTAATAATAATTTCAATGTGACTTAAAAAAAATATATGTTTATTTAGTGTTTTAAATACAGTTAAAATTAATGAAGGAAATTATTGAATAAATATGAAATCTAAATTCTTTTTCTGTAAATTATATACATGTTTTTGTAAAAATTACAAAACTACAAATTTAAAATATATTAACTATAAATTTTAAAACTATGCATCATTTGAGCTTACAATACAAAATAATCTATGATGTTCCATGCAGATTATGACAATGATATTTGACTCCATTGCTAATCTGTCAATCCTCCTCCTGAGTGGAAGAAACTTTGATGTTAAATATACTTGTAATACAAGTATTGGAAAAAGTATTTCTTCTATGTACTTCTCATTCTTATCAGACTATCCTAGGTGTACAGTAATTCTAAAATGAACTTTATTCATTTATATTTAGATACTAGTTATGGACAAAGGAAATTTTTATACCTGCAATCTTTGTTATATTTCCCTTTAATTAACAGATCTGCAACCAAACCCTGCATTTTGTCCCTCTTTCAAAATCTTGACTTAACGAGTAATTGAACACCTAGATGGTTCTCAGTGGATTAAGAAAGAAGTATTTAATTGTGTGGTAGTAGATCTTATTTTCTTTGTTAAAATAATTTATATGTTTCAGATTGTTTTATATTGCAAGAATAAATTGTTAATTGAAAAGCAACTAAATAATAATATACATCTAATAAAAAAGTTAAAATGATTATTTTGTAGGTATATGAGCCATTCATTTGCCAAAATGATCAAGTCCACAATATAAAAGTGCTCCTCACTCCCTTTTAGTAATTTCATTTTTGATCAAATGCTTAAAACCAGTAAAGTTGGTCGTTTTGGCCTTTGAACGGCTCATGTTCAGTTTCATTATGAAATTTTTATATCCAAATAAAAGACCAATAAAAGATGTTGAATATAAGAAAAGCTACAGGAAATACAATTCTGCTACGTCTATCAATCCACTGAGCAATTTCTTGTGGTGTCATTGTCGTAAAATTATGTAACTGAGCAAGGGTTGCTCTTCTTGGGAAAGGTTTTGGTAGTGGTGTATTACTGATGGTTGCAATATTTCTTTCTGAGCATTCTGGGTCTTTGTCCTCTTCAATTTTAACAGAAGGTATGTTGAGAGTACTTGGGAAACTCTGTGGTAGAATAAATTTTATGAAAAATATTTACTGTTTTATCTAAATATATAAAAAGTCGTTAACTATTATATATGTTAAATATTAATTTACATTTAAGGGATACTGTTTCCAGTAAGCGGCGAATTAGACGTGTATAGCGCGAGTTGGTAAAAATATTAAGTGAATGGCGAGTGAAGTGAGCGGTATGAGTGATGAAAGAAGAGACAAGAAGAAGCATGTATACAATAGTTAATGTGAAAAAGCAGGAAATTTAGTATTACACAGTTACAAAATACTGAACTGAAAATACCAGCATATAACTTCAATGAAGAAATTAATGAAGAATTGTTCATATACCGTTTTACAATCTTCACCAACATCTGGTTCATTTGAAACTTCCAATTGAAATTCTGGCAGACATAGACTTTTATTGAAGAAAATTCCGAAACTAGCATAAGAAAAATATATGCTCTAGGAATCGGTACTTTCATCTGAAGAATGCTTTATAAGCAGTTACTTTATTCACACTTGTTATGTGTGAATAAAGGGTACTTAAACCACTTGCATAGACCTCTCGATCCATCGATTTAAACCCGTTGGTTTTTGTGGAGACATTTGAAAAGTAAAGCATATTCTTCGCCGATAAATGACTTAAAAGAACTACGCAATCGAATCCACTATGCTTGCCAAATATTCGGACAAAGATATTTTATTAGAGTTCTTTAACATATTGTAAACTGTAGCTCTAGAAGAAAAGCTAGAAAGAGCAGAATTACAGCTTAGCCGCTGTATTTGTAGACTCGTACCACGTCAATGTGCTACGTCATTTGATCTAATTTATATCACAAACACACAGAAAGTAAATATAAAGCTAAATTGGCTTAAATTGTAAATTACTCATTAATGACTAAATATGGATCTATACATAAAAGATAAGATTACGTCGGAGACTTGTTACAATTATTATAGAAGAAATCGATGGGCGTTAATCATTTGTTAGAACAAGTGCAATAGAAGTATATAATATGGATCTCAGGTTTGAACAGATGTACTCGTAACTATACATGTAATGCCGACGAAAACAATAAGAAAGATAATTGGTGTTAAAACAGAGCAAAAAGCGTGTAGATGTGAGAAGATAAAACAATGTTTAATGTAAAAAAGAAAAAGGAATGTAGAGACAGAAATCGTAGATGGAACGAAAAGAAAAAATAGATTACTTAAGAAGAAATGGTTTAAGGAGGAAACGTTTAAAATAGTATTAAGTGCAATTAAGTAAGATGAACATTATAGTACAATAAAAACTATGAATACCACAGAATAAATAGGGTATTGTCACAGTTTGAAAAAAATGATAGAAAGAGATGGAACTAACATACACATAGATAGTGGAAACATACAAGAAATATGATGGAAAATAAAAACATAAAATTAGTAGAATTAGAAGAGAAAACGCATAACAAAAGAGTTACAGAATAGATGAAGAAATTGAAAGTAATGCAAAATATGCAGAACAAGAAGTAAAGTGAACCAAACTGTTTTCAAAGGTAGGTAATTTAGGATAACTAGTAAAAGCTATGTGGATATATATGTGGAAATAGTATTTGTAAGCCAAACCTTACAATGTAACTAGCAAGAAAGAGTTAATAATAAAATTAACTTACATGTACAGTAAGATAATTTTGACTTGAAAAATCTTGATCACTGGAATTTGTATTTTCAAGTGACGACCAAGAACGAGATCGCTCTAGCCCTGTAGTATTTTTCTGAAATTGTTTCCGCGCTAGCTTTGGCGTTAATGTTGATTTTAATATGTATTTACTATTAACCTTTTTTAAAGGTACATTTTTCCTATATGAACGTATTCACAAAATTGATAATTATATTAATAAATATAATGTAACTATAATTTTAAAATAATATACACATACTTTCGTCGATAAATTGTATTAACAAAAGCAAATTCGACCATTGCTGCAAACAAAAATATAGTACAACCTAGAAACCATATTTCACTGGCTTTTATGTAAGAAACTTTTGGTAAGGAATTTTCCACTTTTGATGCAAGTGTCATAAATGTTAGAATAGTGTTTGTTCCTAATCGTGAAATGCTTAATTAGTTCTTGGAATTATAATACTAATGTGTATTCTTTAAATATTTGTTACCTAATACTATTCTTGGTGGACTTGCATCCACATGCAACCAAAATGAGACCCAAGAAATCACTACTATTAATATAGATGGTATATAGTAATCCATCACAAAGAATCCCATTTCTCTTGATAATTTAAATGTTATACTGAGTGAACTGAAATTACCAGCTACAAATATAAAAGATCATTAATATAGTTGAAACATTGATTAGTAGGTAAGAAAAGGTATGTACCAAAGTGACCAAAATGTTGTTGTGACGTAGTATAATATGTTTCTGACGTATTAACCCATTTGTCCACAAGTTTGTATTCAGTTAAGTGTAATTCATCTGCAAGTATAATTGGCTCTTCATCCCAATATAATACCATGTCAAGCACATTGTGTGTCCCTGTAGGTAAAAATTCCATTCATTCCAAGGAGCATAGTAGAATAAAATAGCTGACATTGTAGTAATACAACAATGACATCCTACAGCTTTCAAAAATGAGTGGACATTCTTGTACATCAAATGGAAACTTCTCCAAACGAAGCCCACAGTTAAGAGTTGCTTGTAACCTATAATAATGTATATACTGTTTTTATAATATAGGAGGAGTCACTAATACATTTACTATATTGGAACTTACTATTTCAGTTAACATAAGATTTGATATTAATATTGTATTTTAATAACATGGATTATTTATACTATTTGAAATCTTTAAAATTTTATATTGATTTTATATAATGAAATGTTTATGTCAACAAGAAAATTTCAATAATAAGAAATATCCTTAACATTATCGATATTTCTGATACAACAAGTATCATATTGTTATATTATTATAATATTATATTACTTGCATTAACAACCACGTAGTAATTTTGAATTTAAACAGTTCATTGCAATGTTATAGTGTAACTGATACATTCAGTTTCACAAACTAAAATATTTTTATATAGCTTGTATTATCACATTTAATCTGATTATTGATGTTTTGTATAGAGTAAAATTTATTTTTAAAAATTCCATCATTTTAGTTGTGTAATTTGGAGATAATATTACATACTTTAGAAATAAAAGAAGAGATCTTGTTAAAGAATAGTAAGTATAAATTTGTTTATATTGTAGTTAAAAGGTATGTTCATTAAATATTAAGATAAATAAGTAAAATAGATTATTAATAAAATTGTATAACTAATTCTTTTTTTGCTTCTAAGAAGTATTTTCAGACAGTCATTTAGTCCATAACAAATATTTTGCTACAAACATTTTTTAGTATCACATATCTAATTTCTTCAATTTTACATAATTAAATGTAACAGTAAATCATTTTCACATGTATAAAAAAAATTTCAATAAAAAACTGAATTTCTATAAAAATACTAAAGTACTATTTCTTTAATTTTTTACAGTTTCTGCAACTTTTTGTTTTAATTCAGTAACATTTAATGATAAATGTAACAGTGAAGAAAATAGCAAACCTATAGATGACTAAAAAAAATATTTTTTTTAGAACAGTCCATTTTTAGTACACTTAAAATACAGTTAAATATCTAGTTAACAATTAAATTACATTTGAAGCTACAAACCTAGTGTTCAATATGACCATGCCTGATGAATTTATAGAAACAAGTATATCTTTAACATCCTTTCCCATAATGGCTGAACTAGGCTCATTAGAAACATATACATTAGGCGTCCAAATTAAGTCGTGTGCAAATTGTCCACCATTTATCTGATGTAAGTTCGGAACAATTTTATCAAACTTCAGCCGTTTATCCAAATATCTAAATTGTAACATCATGTGGACATCGAATTGCTGAAACACCATTATTAGGAAAAATGTAGTAACAATTACTTTCATCGAAATTTTATATACAATTAATTATAATATAACTATAACATAAACTACCAGGGTTTTAACCATATTTGATTTAATTGTATAAATGTAAGCACTGGTGTACACACTAATTGGATCAGTGGTATTCATTTCTCCAGGAGGTCTCATCATTTTGTCATAACGACAGTCGTTCGTTAATTCCTGCAGAAGTTCAGTCTGTGTCATAGGAATACTGTTATTTATCATTGGACATGTTCCCAATCTATAAAAGAATGCATTTTCTACATAAAAATGATTGTTCCTAAATAATTACTTCAATTATTATTGTGTTACTTCAGTATTTAGCACAGTTGTATATATTCTCATTTTTAAAAAATATACAATAACGTAGAACAACAATTAATATAAAATGGTTTAAACTATATAGCCGGTGTACAAAAAGATAACGCTGTTTTCAAAGAGGGTCCTTGAATTAAAATTCTGAACATTACTAAGTGCATACTACGAATGGTTTATTGTTGCTCTGTACTGACGCAGATGACATAATACAATGCATGTGACTGTACATCATAAAAGAAGTTCCTCTCATCGGAATTCGAAATAGTTAAATACACACGCAACAAATAATTGTATAAATATTGAAAGTCATTTATACATAAGTTCGATACTTTTTTTTTTCAAGAATGATTCGCGAAAGAACGAAATTCAGGATCATACATTTTTAATTCATGTGAGAATACTTTTATCTATGCAAAAATTTTTACCTATGTAAAACCTTATGTTAATACAGTTTACAGTAAAAATTAAGAGTTTGTGTATTAGTGCAAAGTATTTAAAAAGTAAAGTTAACGATAAAAAAATGTATTTACGAAATTAAAGTTCGAGGAAGAATCATTTAAATCTGTGTAAATGATTAAAGTGTGTTTTAAGAAATTTTCATTTGAAAATCGAAGCAATACAATATCGGTACCGTAATCAGGACTAACACCAATTTCAACATTAAGATCTTATCTACCTACATGAAGACATTAATTTATAGCATTAAACATTTGACTGTTTATATAAGTTATCAATATTTTTCATCGTAAAATTGCACCATGGCTATCAACAGAATTTTTCTTGCTTTACTTATGATGCATCTAGCGGGAAGTGGAGACTGTTACTGAGAACAGTTTTAGTATTGCAAAAGATACAGTTGTTTACCGTAGCTTATGTTAGCAACTTTAAGCTTTTGTTTTTTCAGAGTCACATGAAGCACAAGTTTTTATTGTTTTTAAATCTGTTAATGGTTAAATTCGCCATAATCCATTCTACCGAGAAAAAGATTGAACATGATATAATCTTATCTTTTGCATTTAAAAAAGATTAAATTTTAATCCTTGGGCAGATAAAGAAATTCTGATTTAAAAAAGTTAAATGAACTTTAATACTGTTTAAAATTTCTGTATATAACATTGAATGTACTTTATATATAACATTGAAAGGTCTCAATTTTTATGAGAATTTTGTAGTTTCTATTAAAACATTGCATTGAATTGAAGTGAAACATTTCTTCCTATTTTATATTACAATAGGAAATTTTGTTGAATAATCGTTAGAAATGAAATATTTTTTTCTACAATGTATTCTGAAGTTTTTTTTTGTATTTTATGTGCTATTCAATCATAACGTCAATTAAAGTATAAGGTGATTTAAATCACTTTCTTATCAATTTAGTATTTACAAAAGTCTTTCAACAGCTGCTAATTTATCGAATCAAGTGTCAAACATTTTCTGTTAGAAAATATTTCCATTGGAATATCTATAATAATTAGACATGTGTAATAGAAATATTAGGACCTACATTGTGGTGTTATTTTACATTTTATTTATTGTATACTCAGTAGTTTTCATATTATAAATTTATGTCTTGTTCTGTTAGTTTCAATATATACCCACGTTTTCTGGTTCATATACAGAGTGCACACGCATGCGCGTGCATAAATTAAAATATAAACTCATAGATATGATTTGTAAGTCGATACATAAAAATTTAATTAGCCGATACATAAAATTTAGTAGTTTTTCACAGTGGAAAACAAACAATTGCACAAACTGCATAAACGCGTATAAAACATTTTATGCTCACTTCTAGTAACATTTAGAAAAAATTAATCATCAACAAATAAAATAGATTTAAAAAATGTGGAAGTTAATATAACAAAAGTATAACTTACATAGTAGATGAATTTAGATGTAGTAATTGTAGGATATAAAAGAGAACCGCGAAATAATAGACTTTTCGTTCTGAAGCCATTGTAAATTCCTTTATAACTTAACTCCTTCACTAATAAAGTTGAACTGATTCTTTCTTAGATACACAAGTATGCTCTTGAGTAAATTTGTTGGAAACCAAACATTACCCAACCGTTCCTCCCACTCTGAATATTCTTTTACAAAGTGATTATATATTCAAGTGCCATATGACACTAAGACGGTCTATATATTGTTAGTATTGTACATACATATACAGAGTGAATCAGAAGCACATAACTAGTTCAGATATACCGCAAGTTACTGAGAAATTTTTCAACTATTTGTTCAGTTACGTATTTTCGAACTACATATAATCGAGTTTATATATTTGTTTCTGGAACAGTCAAATAATTTTTCTGTGACAATTACTTACCTTGTTTTACACGAGGTACTTAAAAACAATGTGTTTATTTAACATGACGAAAAATACACTGTTTCTTACTTACACTTAATCATGCATTCACATTTAAATTATATGTTTACTATGTCATCAGTGCATTACAGTTCTTGTGTTTTTTGACATAACATTCATATTATAATAACAAAAATAGCTTACATGTTATTTGTATTATAAATATTATGCACTATTTTTATCACTATGTTATACTATTTTAAATTAAATTAAATTCAAGTTTATTAATTTTTTGTAGCACATGTACTTAAATTCAAATACAGTTTTTTAGCTAAATATGGAGAAGTATCTAAGCAGCGGAAATTACCGATGGAATGTTCTCCGAAGTTTCGTGTATAATGGAGAACGTGTAACGAGGTATAAATAGCGTCTTTAAACGTTTTAGTAATTAACAAATGAGTCAAAACTTGAAATTTTCACCTACTTATTCGAACCGACGCTTGAAATTTTATTTTTTCAAAAACTTTGTTTTTTGATTTTCGTTACAAAAGTGATTCTGAAAGTAAGAAACAAATTTTTTCAAAATCGGGACTCGCTTTAAAATACCCACAGGATAAGATGTCGATGAAGAAAGACGTAAATTGTCCATAATATAACAAATGAATATGAAGATATTACTTCTTGCAAGAAGAAGAAATTTGTGATACTAAAATTTGTATAAAAGATATATTTTTGAAATAATTACGCTATAGAATTATCTAAAAACGTGAAATTGAAATTAACGTACACATTTGTGCACAATTATAGTCAATACCACAAGGGAATTAAAGTTGAAAAGAAAATTGTTTTACGTTGGTTATATTTCGTTCGATATGCTGTAACCAGTGCAAAACGATTAAAAGGTTCAATAAAGTTTTAAAAATAGATATTCAATACTTAAAACTATTGCAATATCCAATAGCAAAAAACATTAGGAAAAGGTTTGAAATATTTCAGGGGAATCCTTCTTACCAGTCAAGCAATTAGAACTGTAAAAAAATATATTTTTACACATGAATGTAGTCAAATGCAGTTATTATAGAGATAGAGAACTGATAAGTAGAGTAACGAAACTATTTATACTGCAATAATAAATCACTGTGATTCAGCAACTTAGTTGAAGGAAAGTGATGATTATGCAAATATTTCTAAGTTTTTTTTTAAATGAAATTGCAACGTCTAGAGGTACAACGTGTACAGGGTGCTTCATAATATGTGAGGTGCACTTCCGGAGTCGATAAAAGATATAAAACGCAATCAAAGTTTATATTAACACGTATTTAATTCCCAATAATTCTTATTACAGAATTATATAATTTTGATTCTCGATCATTCACGTACAGCTTATCTTGATAAAAAATGCCCGAAATAACCAATCTCGATTTATATTTGAATAATCGTCTGTATCTTAACCGCTGACGCATTCTCTTGATTGTTCAGTTCTCTTCCTAGATGTACTTTAAATTATTTTAACTTGCTGCTTCTTAGAAATGGAAAGAGTGTAATTAAGTAAATAAAAGTGAGTAATTACTCGTATTAAGAAAGTGCAAATATGCATTTAGGACATGGCCTTGTTGAATACAATTCAGGCACAGTAAGAACTATTTCCCTAATACGTGTCTATCAGATAAGGAGGCATTTAAAAGATTAGATGAATGCTACGTAAATTTACATGAAATAACTACCTATCGAACAATATGGAATAATAGTTATTTCTTACTAAATTATGTGGCTTACGGCGTGATACCAGGGATTTTAGATAAGTTTCAACTTTAGGTGCGAATTGTTGTTTCACACTATTCTGCTTCAATATTTGCAAATATCAAGAACTTTCTTAGAGGAAATTCGTTCATCGTTGAGATGCAGATTGAATAAATAATAAGTAGGCAACTGATTGTTTATTTGACGTATAAAAAGAACTAGTTTGTTGGTGATCAAAGAAACTTCAGTGTGGATCGCTCAAACTGTGAGGCCGAGTACATGTCGAAAGCCTGAAGACTTTACTCAAAATGCAATAACTTTATGTAGATATCTTAATTATTGAATTCATTGTAACACTATCTTAAAACTAATTTTAACCTTGAAACCTATGCAATGTCATTTGTCACAAAATTTCTTTTACCATGTTACGTATCTTCTAATAACTCACAGTTTGTGTAAAAATATTTTGCGATTATTCTGCCTCTTTGCTTATTCAAAAGTTACTTATCTTAATATTTATATTTCTTTCACAGTCATACTTCAAATTAAATAGTATCTACATTACTTATATTTCATTTAAAAAACTGTATAAACATTACAAATCTTGAAATTTAAATTTTGCTCCTGTTTCAATCTTTCATATTATTCTCAATATAATTTTTTAAAATAAACAATTACAATTTTTTTTAAAATTTAATTGAAACTTTAAACAATCCTAATAGATCAAAAAATGTATTAAAAAAAAATTTATAAATATACAATATACAATATTTTTTACTATCATGTTACTTCATTTCTATAGACGCGATATGCGGTTTCATACGATGAAGCATATAGGTCATTAAATGAAGATTCTGAAGCAGTTTTGTCATTCGTACATAATGCCGTTCGGTATATGGTATCATAGATTCTAGCGTGGAGGATGCTGTTGTTCTCGATTCTAGATCTTCCATTTCCATCATTAATGTATTTATAACTACCTGTTAAATATAAAATCTGTATTAGACGAACTATAAATAAACTTTTTAATTATTAAATCGAAACATGAAACAGTATTTCAGTATTTACCTGCGCAATTTGGCAATTCTTACTGTTGGCGTTCCATGTAACAGCACACTTAAGTAGTTCTTCCTTATAAATAGGTTTTAGATCACGAACTGTTTGTTCAAGTTGTAAACAGTCTTCCTTTATAATATCTAATAAATGACAGAAAAAAGTAATAAAAATAAAAAAAATAGTTATATGACTGCTGAATTACACTCTAAATTTGCAATAATCTGTAATTAATTCTTTTTATGTATTAATATCATATGAAATAAAAACTTACTTTCTATAATTTTTAGAACTTGGAAAGGACGGTTTAATTTTAAAGCTAAGTTTAAAGCAGACGTTAATTTACTTGCTTTAAGTAAATTTGATAACTGCTGCTCTTCCAATGCAAGTTGCTCACTCTCCAATGCTCTTTGCGTCTTTCTTTCTTCAGTTACATCCTTCCAAATAACTAATAAGGAATCACTTCCACCACTGACGATAGTTTTCTCGTTTTTATTAACTGCGAATATAATTAAATAAAGATATTGTTATATATAATAAAAGAAATTTATATTAAAATTTAATAGTAAAAGTGGTATTTACCGGCAAGTGCCCATACACGGCTATCATGCTGTTCCATAGTACATACACATTCTGACGTTTTAATATTCCAAAGTTTTAAGAAACCATCGCCACTCGCTGTAATTAATTGCATTCCACGCGACAAAAATTCTGCTCTCAGTACAGATGATTCATGACCTTCAAGTGTCTATTATGTAAAGAGGATAATAGTAATAATGTATAAATGTATTGCTAATATAGATAAACTATGATTACACAAAATTACCTTTAAACAATTAAGTTCTGTCAATGACCAAAGTTTTACTGTGCAATCCGCTGATGTTGTTAAAAGTACTTGATCTATGGGCGAAAATCGTACACACCATATACCCCTCCTATGCCCACGTAACACTCCAAGCAGTTGTAAATTGTCAACTGACCACAACTACAATATTAAATATAAATAGGTTTATATATGTTTATATTTCTAAATTTTATATCCTTTATTCATCTTACTTTAGCTGTCTTATCTTGAGACCCAGTTGCTATTAATTTATCATTTGGAGATATTGATACACTATTAATATCTTTTTGATGGGCTAATGCTGTATGAACCACGTTTAAAGTACATGTGCCTATAATTATGTTACAAATGAAACAATGTTAATAGTGACTCATACAATGAACAATAAATAACTTATATTTTAAGTAGAAATTACATTTACCTTTATGTTCGATATTTTCTGATAAATCCCATAATTTGAGACAAGAATCCTGACTTACTGAAGCAAAGAATTTAGAAGATGTTTGAGAAATAGCAACAGAACCAATTGGAGCAGTATGCCTAACAGAAAATGCTACACAAGATACTTTCTCTGTTTCTTTATCCATATACCATGCGCGAACACTATTATCCTGAAAAATGTAAAATGTTATTAATAATCTGATAAATGTATTGTAAAAATCTATTAATATTAAAAAGAGAGATCTTATAGCTTTATACAATATTTTTACTAAAACTTATATGATCAACTTTCTTAAATATTTCTTATTTAACAGATTACTAAAATCATTTTTAATAAATGATCTATTGTAAATCATCATTTTTTTTAGATTTGTCATACCTTTGCTGATGATAAAAGTAGATAGACATTGGCGGGTGTTGTGGCAAGAGATAAAACAATATCTGTGTGCCCACATAATAGTTCACAATTCAAGGTTGAAATGTTATATAGTTTTATATCACAACTATTAGTAGCAACTGCTATGTGACTTCCATCATTTCCAAGATAAACAATATCTAAAATTTCATCACTGTAACCTACTAGCTGTAACAATTTAATATTACAACATTTTCATACTTATTAAAGCTTGTTTAAAGTTTAAAATCAACTTCACCTGCTTTATGTAGTCAAATGTCTCTAATGAATGAATAATTATGTTGTGGTCTACAGTAACTATAGCAAAACTATTACAACTATCATTATAAAGTAAATGAGTGATGGCAAAATTTGTTCCCTCTTTTGCTGCTGATACAATAGAATCTTTCTGGGCATATATTTCTTTCCCAGTTCTTATTTCCCAAATTTTAACAATACCTAAAAAATATTATTTTGGAATAAATATTTTCTACAATATGTAAATTTACATTTTTGTAATATAATTAACAAACCTTTCTCTCCTGCACCAGCGACATAAAGACCATGCTTATTTTTGTTATTCAAAACCATACATGATGCATTATTAGGAATAATAAATGTATCTTCTATTTCTTCATAAACTGGTAAAATTCGTATTGATGATCCAGAAGAGATGTCCCATAAAATTAATACTTTATCTCTTCCCGAGCTAATTAAATAATTATCATCTTCAGCAAAAGATAAAGATGTAACTTTACTAAAATGTCCAGAAAGGGTAACTTCTTCTTTACCAGATTTAATACTCCATCCATGAATTTTCGCATCATCACCAGAGGCGAAGACAAGTCCTTTTTCAGTATTTGGATGGAAAACTAATACACTGATAACTCCTTGAGCTCCTTTCAGATTGTGAGTACAACTATAATGTTGCAAATCCCACAATCTAATAGCTCCATCACTACCTCCAGAAGCAACTAAATTCTTCTCACTTACGTGAGCGATACAAGTTACTGGACCCTTGTGAATGGATTTCCATAATTTGACTAGTTTATTATCTTTCCAATTCCATAATTTGAATAAACCACTTTTGTGGTGGGTAATAATATTTAAATCATTATCACTTGCAGTAAATGTATTAATAGTATCTTCTTCTTCGTTATTATTTCCTTGCCCTAAATAATGAAGTACTACACCTTTCGTTACTGACACTATAGAAACTACACCATATTTTTGACAGAATATATGTTGACCATCTTTACTCCACTGAACATTTCCTCCTGTATAAAATGCAGCATGTTTAAATTCAACTTCATATGCTTCTTTTAAAATGACGTTACTCATTTTAGATGGATTATACTGATTATGTTAGTTATATCAATGTTTATAAACATTTAAGAAGTAAATGTGGTCCATTTACTGTTGTGTATACGTTTTATTGAGGAACACATGCATGCGATGCAAAATCGTAAACCACGTGAAACACACGTGCATTGTTCGTAGAATTAATGTATACTGGAGGCCGGAAACTCACATCGAATTTTTGAGACAGTTAATTAGTTCCGACAGACACAGATACTTGATTAGATGGCGATAGTGTTAAAATGATCAGCGCCCTCTAAGAGCACGATCATAATTTATTTCATCCGACCAAAAGGTTCTATAGGGTGTTCTCAACGAGTCTAAACAGTCGAAAATGATAAAAATTATACATAAAAATTTAATGCTATAGGATGGACAATTTTTTAACGATAACAAGCTTTTTTATTTTATGAAGTACAAAGGTAAAACTCAGATTTTTTATATATATATACATATGCATGTATTTGTTTAAATCATATTAAAATATTTTTTAGGACAATTCATTGATTGTTTATAAACTCCACTCCAAATAATTTTTAAGAAGTTTAGCTTACAAATTTATTGATTTGTCAGAAGAGGAGAACCTTCCGTTGGAACCTCTTAGGGTTAAGATTCTTTGCATTTACTTCAAGAACCAGTACCAAACATATAGTATTTACCATATCAATGACAACATCGTTGGTACTTCCTATTCAAGTTGAATTTCTTTAGCAAAAATTAGTACATTTGTAATCGCAATATTAAGTAAACTAATATGAAATTCGTCTGAAGAAGTACTGCACATTGATCTATCTTAGGAATGAATCTACATAAAAATATGAAATTCCAATTTCAAAATATTAAAATTTGTTTTCATCAAAAAGAGTCCTTCATACAATATTCATATAAGCAATCCTTTTATGTCTCCAATAATGTGTTTTCCAATTCAAATTATTTTATAAACCGTTGATATTTTTTAAGGTATGAGCCCTCGTACTTTTTTGTGTAGCATATTTCAAAGAATCGATATAAAAGTATTTGCAACATTTTGTGTTTGTCCAAATATGCTTTTGATAACTTTAGTTTTTAAAGAAATTGCATTGCAATTTTATGAAAATAAAGAAGCACTCTGTATATCGCATTTAGTTTTTAAACAAAACGGATCCTTAGTCAGATGGCGCAGCAAGTATTGCTAGATTTTAGCAGTGGGAAATACTGAGCCTTGAAGCGGTTAGAATAGAAGTGAGTCGCAAATTTGTAACGGTGTAACTAGCAAAAATTATATTTAAAAACATTGGAACAAAATGTCGAGAATATCGGCTGTAAAAGCATCATTGGAGAAGTCGTTGTACGACGAAAGCAGGATATGGACAAAATATCTTGCGAGTCTGGAGAAAAAAACAGGAGTGGATCGGCTTTATGTGTTTTTAGGTACGGCATGAGGTTATTTAAAGTTTGTGACAATCTTTATCCTAGTTGTATTCGCAGATTCTAGCTTTACATAATGCGCTTTTTCTATGAACAAATTCGTTTGTAATATACAGTCTGATTATAACTTTGAAATCAGTTTATTTTTCTTCAATTCATGCTTATTTATTGTTGTATGCAAAAATGTTGAAAGAGAATTTTTCTATAGAAAAAAGTAGTGAGATTATTTACTCATCATTGAATAACAATTACAGAGATGACAGTGCAGATATTCCACTTCCTTGTATACATTGAAATGATTCATAACTATGTATTTATATGATGGACAGTTCTTGTACTTTTTGTGTTTGCTTATTCATATAATGTTATTTAATATTTTAGGTATTACTGGATTTATAGCATTATATCTGGTATTTGGTATTGGACAACAATTAGTCAGTAATGTCTTTGGATTTTTATATCCAGCATATTGTTCTATGAAAGCTTTGGAGTCTCCAAAAAAAGAAGATGATACAAAATGGTTAACATATTGGGTTGTCTGTGCTGTTTTTACAATTGTTGAATTTTTCTCAGATTATATTTTATGTTGGTTCCCAGTTTATTGGCTTTTTAAGGTATGATTGTATGTATTAAAAATATCCCACTTTAAGTATACATATTAACAACTTTGTCTCATTTTGCAGTGCATCTTTTACATGTGGTTGATGGCACCCATTGAAAACAATGGTTCCTTAATTTTATATCGCCGTATTATTAGGCCATACTTTTTGCGGTACCATCATAAAGTTGATCAATTTATATCATCTGCCCATGATGCAGGTAAATTTATATTAATTAAACATATTATATAATTTATTATTATTTGTGTCTTATAAAACATGTTCTGTTGTAGCAGTCAAAGTAGCAGCAAGTTCTCTGCTGACGGAGAAACAAGATTAGTTTGTATAATTTTGCATCCTATAGGAGTTAAAATTTTGTATGCCTTAAATATTTTTACTATCCTTTTTTTTTCCATAATAAGAAATAGAAATATATTTGATATTCTTATAATGTAAAACCAATTGCATATGTTATATATGTTATATATACTAGTTATATGGTTAGTCACATATACTAGTTATATGCTAGTTATATATACCATATATAATCTTATATATATTACAAAATTTTCAAATGAATTTTATTACTATACATGTAATCTTTACATAATTTTCTTTTTAATTGATAACTTGCAAATAACTTAACATTATTTTTTATTTTTGTTATGTTTTAATCGATATTTTCGTCTTCCTGACGCTTTATTTCAAAAACTTGTGGTTACATTCTGTATGATCTGTTTGTGTTAATCAGACATGGTTTGATCAAAATTTTGCTGTTAATATATTACTACTTACCCAATTAATATGAATTATAATTTAATTCTATGTGTTTTAAACATTCTGGCCGTGCTTATCTTACTCAAACGATGGGCTAAATATTTCTGCAGAATTCAGCTTATCTGACATACAAACTAAACATCTTGCAAATTAAATATTTTAAAACTATTGTGCGCACGAGGTAAAAAAATTGCCTAGTAAAACGACGTAATACAGATACTGCTTCACTGCTTTTGCCTAGTTTCAAGAAAAGAGAATGGGCTAGGAGATGGCTTTTAAGAAAAGAAATATTTCCTAATATAAATTTGTTAAATAAAATTTATATATTCACATTAAAAGATTTTCGTATAACTAAATTTATTATTCAATTCGTTGTTTGTCTCATATCTCTGTACTTTAAAACCTCTTATCTCTTTCGTGTCACATCTTGACTCACAAAGACTAAAATTACAGTTCTATTGGCAGAAACTAAAATCCAGAATATTCACGCATGACAAAATAATTTAATTATTATGCATTTATTTTTTATATTTTATTTGTTAAACTATATTTTATCGTGGAAAATAAAGTAAATAAAAAAGATTGGAGTTTCTTTTTATTTCTTCATAATTAAGGTTATACATACAGGTCTTGTAGGCATATAAATATGCAACTTGTTTAAAGATTCAAATACGAAAAATATACTCGACAAAAAATACGTAGTCATATGCTATTTTTTTTTATAAAATTTTGAGAAAATTTTGCATTTATAAATGTATGAATGATATATTGAAATAGGCACAAGAAATATTGCTTCCTTGCTTTGAAAGTTGTATATGAGGAGATATTAGGATGAAATACATGTTTATACAAGAAGGCACAGAATAATATTGCAATCGTTAATACTGCAATTGTTTTAACAAAAGGTGGGTGAAAATCATCTGTTGGGAACTATGAAAACTGAAATATTTATTCATGTCTTCTAAAAAATAAGTTGTACTATATTTTGTCAATAAATAAAATTGTGATAAATAAAAAAGTTGCTCTGTTCAGAAATTTAATTTTAGTACTAATATTTGTTTTCGTTCTACAATTATAAATCATATCGCTTATATTTTCTAACTTAAAAATTTACAAGAATTAATTCAGCATTACAAAACGTAAAATAATAACGATTCGTTAGACAATATAATCTACAGAAAATATATCATGGAAGGTAGGAATAAAAATGGGAAAAATATATAAAACTCTTATCTTTTAATAATTTTGTGGCATGTACAAGTTTCATATAGTTTTGTCGCAGAGTGACGATATCAATATTGCAATACATACAATTTCCTTATTATCTAACTGGATATGTTAACGAGGATGTGTATTTACACGTTCGCAAATCTCAATTTTATATCAGATTTTGGTCTGTCTATTAACCATAATTACTTTCGGTATTATTCGATTGACAGTGTAATATACAAAATGTATGTTTCTTTATCTGGAGTTCAAAAGTGTTTACAGTGCACATCTTTTAAAAATATCCCGTTTAATTCACGAGCTTAAACTTGAACACATATGTATATGAAATTGGTGCAGAATCATGCACATCCTCTGCAAATACATTCTAAAAGCATGTACAAAATTCCGTTATTTTATTGCAGGTACATAAATAATCTTACATTATTATTAACTCAAATAAAGCTATAAATTTAGATATGTTTAACAAAATTTATTTGATTTTTAATTGTTGTATTTCGAAATTTTTATTTTTGTTTCATTGAATCGTTACGGGTATACAAAAATTTTAATGATGTTTGGAGCTAATTTTTTTGTATTAATATTTAATTTTCCAATATTATTATTGTGAAACATTTTAAAGTAAAATATTTGTTGAATTTTAAACACTTCTTTATTTAAATGAATATTTATTTTTCAAGATAAAATTGAAACTTTCTCATGTTATCTTTCCAAATTTTCTGTGTCATGTTTTATCGTTAATTTCATTGAAATAATATGTGCAGATAGGAATTTTTGCACATGACCGATGGAAATTTTTGTATACCCCTATTTTGCGTGAATCCAATATATTTCGGACAAAAGTTTATTGTTGCGTTCGTAGTTAACGGACATAATTTATTTCATACTAAGATGTCAATAACCTAAGCATCACTGTACATATAAACCTAGACCTGATAAAGGAGTGTCGTGAATTGTCAGATTCTGATTTGGATGAAGCTTCGTATATAAAATAACCAAAAATGATCGATACGTACTTTTTATAGCTACAGCACCTCAAGCTATAAAGGTCAAACCGGCTTTTAAATATTAACATTCTGTAAACCATCTAGAAAAGATCAAAGATAAAAATATACTTTACAAAGTTTTTTATACATAGTAATATGATGTTGACGATTTTTCCCAAAATATAAAACTTTATAAAATAACGAGGGTGATCATTTTTATTTTAAAATTAACATCTTGACATTAACGAGGAATGATGTGTACTAAATTTTTAATGCAGTATTTTTAGAGTAATTTATCAATGGTAAATTCGATGAAGTTCAAATTTTGACCCATCACTAAACCGTTTCTCAAAGATTCAAACATTTATTTATAAATTTCTTAATAAAGATTATCGGTTACGGATATTGATTTCACTAATCCAAAAAGCAGTTTCCGTCAAACTCAAATTACTGCACTGTATAAAATGTACTTTTATCAAAGTTTCATCCAAATTAAATTCGAACAATTTACGCCATTTTGTGACGAGTTCGTTTAGAAAATATTTTCCTTCGCACAGCTAGAAAGTAGTACAAAATTTGATTAGATTCACAGTTTCGGAGTCTGCAGCAGTCGCTTCTCCATGGATCTTATTTTCATACATTTAACGAGGAGCGTGATTATCGTAAAAATGGCTCCTAGGAACGAAATAATTCCCAGCACAACCAGAACCATGAACCAGTTTTTAAAGCTGCCTATTCTGTCACCAAAATCACAATTGCAGTATTCGCTGTCGTTCAAATTCAGCGCAGAAAAATTGACGGGCCTAAGAGAAATTAACTTGAAGTCGTCCTGTATTTGACGCCTATTCGTGGAGTTCTTCGACTTCTTCAGAAACCTGTAGGATATCGTGTAGGTGAACTCTTGGCCGTCGTAAGAACCTTTGGCACTGTAATATTGTATTAACAATTCGTTTCCGCTGGAGGTGAGAGGAACCTGAATATTATTGATGTCTTGATGAGACACGTCGCAGTAGGACCACATTAGGATGTTATTATTTGCCTGCAAAATTAATATTAACACAATTAAAATTAAATAGTAAAATTATATTATTACTGAAATCGATGTAGTATTGTCTTAATCAAATATTAAATACATTACCAGTTAATACAAATAAACAGTAAACTAATATATAATGTAATAGTAAACTAATAGACAAATAAATAGTAAAATAATTTAGCAAGAAATTTTTAATAGTCACAATATATTAAGCCAATCAGAAACTTACTTCTATTCCATTATAAACTGCAATTTCATTTCCAGAGCAATAACCCAGACTAAGGTTCCGAGTCTGAGGTGCATATTCCAAATCCAGTTCGTTTCTAATTATTTTCATGTACACCGAAATCTTCTCAGAGGTCCTGCCTATGAACTTATAGCTGCACACCGTGTCCGGAGGATACCAGTTCGGCAACGATTTAATATTTTCCCTAGTACGTTCCGAACTCCTATAAACGAAATCGCAACTTTGGCTATGTGTCACAGCCGTCTGCTCCATTTCTTGCACGGACAATTGGAAGCCGTCGTGCATTATCGTGCCATCTTGCTGCGCGTAAAACTCAACGATAATATTCTTCCCTCGAGTAATTATTCGCGGCACGTGACCTTCGCCGCAAAATTTGGAGATCTCCAGAATTTTCCCATCTACGTTCTCCATGAGAGCAAGATAATCGCCGACGCAACTGGTGCTTCCTAATTTATCTTGCGTGCGACCCCTCCTCGTGTATCCATACTCGGAAACCTTGGCAAGAGAAATAGCTAATGGTTAAATAATTCGATCATATTTTACAATTAAGCATATTGTTTCTGTATTTGCTCTCTTGATAGAAACACTCGCAGTTTCAACTAACTTTGTACAAGAGAAACTTCACTGAACTGTTGGGGGAGTTTACTATGCAGTTACTGCAATATGTGTCTGTGAGAAGTTAAAAGGAAGCAATGCTTGCAGAGTAATTCTGTAATTGCATTGTGGACTAATTTTAACCTGTGATCCAGTCTGGTTTAATCTTATTGGGACAAATGTAATATCAGTTATTGTCATCCCAACACTATATGTAATTAATACAGAAAGCACAGCATATAACTCTTGAATTGATATTGGAATTTGAGCGTAGCTATGTAGCTATTTTGAGGTTATGAAATCTTCCTGAAATACTTTTGTACCTTTTAGGTCTTCAATCAGTCTTTTAACAAAATTGTAATTAGAGAATTATAATTTTCTATAACTCTCTAATTGGTATACATTTAGCACGCTCATGGACGACAATAAAAAATGCAACAGGCTATATGAGGTTTAAAATCTCACAAGATGAGAGTATTTTTACAAGATACATAACTGCAAAAATACAAAGAATTGTTTTGAAGAAACTACTGTCAGGTTTTCGAGATCAATTACACACCTATTGTTGGAGTCACGTTTACAATAAATAAATATTACATTTAAAATATGGTGCATGTACGAAGAAACTTAAAATGTCTATGTAACTGAAAAATACTGAGCTGACTCGAAAATACTGGCAAGTTTCACAAGAAAATTTAATTAACTAGTTCTACACGACCCCATTATTTGTCAAGTCGTTAAAAAAGTTGAATCCAAACAATCTAACTATCTAAAAATAAATTGTCATGTTAAACTGACCTGTACAGTGTTTTTCTCTTGAGTCTCCTTCCTCAGAATGTCCTGTGTTCCGTCAGGAGACAAATTCTCCCTCGATACATCTTGCAGGTCAAAGTTCTTCCACGAACTGGAGTCCATAGACTTTTTATTAATTTGCTGCGGGCGACGAAGTCTCCTTTGCACATAATCTGGCGATGTTTCCTCGTCGTGATACCCGACGAATAGCTTGGGGTCCTTTTTAAACCCATGAAAAGCAGAAGACTGTTCAGTTATCTCTTTCGGACGATTCCTTCTATCCTCAGCTACGTATCTTCTACGAGACTTGTACAGATCTTTCGATCCGACTTTCTTCTTATCTTTCCTAACTTTTCTTCGATTATTTCTATTCCTCTTAAACTTGTGCGACGTTTGTCCAATGATAAATTCCAGTTCCTCCTCGTGATCGGGGCTCCTTGGCCTCCTGTAGGACATATATCCCGGCAGATACCCGATCGACTTAGCGACCCTCGTCTTCGGTGCTTCCGGGACGATTTCTATGTGCCTCTCGCAGTTTTCCGTCTGGCAGTTGTCCTGGGACGTGTGGTTCATCAGATCGAAAATATCGGTCGGTTGGCCTCCGATCTTAAAGCGACCCGAATTCGATTCCAGGGCGATCCTGCATCTGATACCGCGGGGATAGACGCCCGGGTAACCCGGGGACATCAACTTGCAGAATCTTTGGTCGTTTCTTACGACGCACTCCACTGGACAGTCGAATGAAAAGGACGGAGAAAAACCGCGGTGACGCTCGGCAGCCAAGTGCGCTGGTAAAATCGAAAATTGGGCGGAGAAGATTACTGGGTTTTCGGTTGCAAACTCTACGTCCGAGTCCATTATGATTGTCAGGTTGGGCCCCTTTCTTAGGAACAGTCTGTAAAATTATTTTAACTTAAATATTAACTGCGTATATAAATTATGTTGTTCCAAAGGTTTGTTGGGTGCAAGGTTTGAGGGAAACTTTGCTGTCATTGATGGGTGGAGCAGAAATCAGAGGGGTAATATAAATAATCTTGCATGATGTGACACTTTTATCATACTATCATAATTTATAATACAACATTAATAATTTGACAAATACTTTAAGTAATACTTCACAGTAGTTGTCACTATTTAATATTCCCTTCATGCATGAATTATTTTGTTCACCAAAATACTTAATGAAATGTGTTCATATGTTCCATTGTAAACTCGAAATATTTTAATAAAGAAAAGGTATTTTTGAACTTTGAAAGCACTCGCGAGAGTAATTAGGTTGAGAATCCCTGCGTTAGGGGAACAAGTACACATAGTGCGCATCATACAGGATGATATATGAAACTGCACAGGAACTCGTTCAAACTGACCAAGTATGGCATGGTACAGGGGTTTATTAGAAGATATGACCGTTTCGGTAAATGACGAATATGTTGAACATTTTTACAATTATGTTAGTGAAAAGGCCTTGTGTGATTAATACGTCATGTTTTCGCCATCTTGTATGTTCGTATTCATTTACTATGTTTGCATCGTGTTATAATATTAATGTATCATATTATAATCGCATTTTATTATTATACACAATGTAAGTAACTGAAGTTACAGTTATTGCAATTATTGAATTGCTGACAATAGAAAAAATTAATATTTTACCTTGTTGCATTGCTATTCACGTGACCGCAGTAACGTCCTGTTTTATTCTGAACATCCTTTCCGCCATCGAAAAATTGAATATAAGCACCTTCACATTTGGTTTCTTTCAGAAAACCAACTTGAAGTCGTCTAATTTTTAGTTCGATCACCTGCGTCTAATCATGATATTTTAATTTTTGCAATATTATGTATACATTTAAATAATTTTTTTTTTGGCTCAAAATAAAAATTGGCGATATTTTACAGTTATAATATAAGAAATTATGATTCAGATGAAAGAATTTGTGTCAACCTGAGGGTCTCTAGAAGGTGCCACAATGTGAACGATACACCGCCCCATTCTTCCTGTCCAACGTATCCATCCGATAGAATTTCTGACAGTGCGATTGCATCCTGCAACAAACAAGGAATAAAATCATGCGACAATTTTCCGTGAAAATTTACATTGTCGAACGGTTATTTATAACTTAATTATGTTTTGTTGTTCAGAAAATAAACAAATATTTTATTGTAATGTGAAAAAAGAAATTCCACCGCAATTGATTAAATTTAAAAGCATATTCCAAGCTTCATGTATATTTTCGTCGAGAGTAATTGTTTACACGAGTCATTCACTCCAGTCTGAAAACAAGCAAAGTTTTGATTCTCTTATTTTTTGGAGCTTATTTTGGAGATCACCTGTGTCTTCAAATTTATAAATTAAGAATTAAAATTTATTTATAAAGGTACTTAGTAAATAAATTTAGCATTAGTGTAAAGTCTACAAACAGAAGCAACTTTGATTTATTGTATTTCATCCGAAAATTGTAATGTAATAATATTAATAATTAAGGGGCAAGATTATTTAAAAGAAAATTACTTTGTTACCAAAACAAATTCTGGTTTCTTTATAAAGCAAATTGTTAGAAGTATACGAGTTCTATAAACAAAATTTGAACAAATATTTTTCGGTTAAATCCATCACTAGCTGTATCCTAATAACCCTTATTAGAGAGTAACATTCATTTAACAAATTAAATACTTGAGTATTTCTATTAGAGTCTATTTTAATATGTTATAACTGCAGTGACAATCTTCAAATATTAATCCTGCAAATAATTTTTCTTTCTACAACACGACATAAAAATTGCATAACGTAATTGAAATAAAAAAGGGAACAAATTCCATCTTCAAACACGTTAAAATTGTTTTAACGACGCGTTTGTCGTGGTATAAAATTGTCTTTAATTATTGAAGGCTTTCTGCTGTTAATCCGAAGCAATGAACATTAATCCGATCACGTTTCGTACAATGAAAAGTCAAAGAAGCATATCGTTAGAGCGTGAAAAGCCACTATATCGGCTGGTGGCAGCAGTCGACGGGCGTAATTCACGTTTACAGTCAGAGACAAAATTATTATGAATGGACACGTTATAGAAATATACGTCATTCAAATTAAATCAGAAAATTATTAACGTTTCAACGTAACTTTGAATTATTGCATATTCTCGTTGCATTCGGAATATTATGCAATAATGAAATGATTGAAGTTAATATTAATAATGTAATATGAATAAATTTTGCTTAATTCGTATAGTAATTAGTTTGAAGGAGAAAAAATTATACGATGAAAAATTGTTGCAATAATAGGTTCGTTGTAATGTGTTCATTGTAATTTTATTTATTTGTAGGGTTATTCTTTAAGAATTTATTTTTAATCTTACTATTAAACTTAAATATTTATTAAATAATTTAGGTATCAGTGGTTCTCCATTTTTTCATACATGTGTATGACTAAATTCAAAGTTAAAGAATTTTAGTATTAATAAGAATATTCTGTATGTAGGAATTTATGAGAGATTATATACACTTTTTATTGTATTACCATTATAAATTTTTCATTCTAATCGCAAAACTATATGTATAATAAGTAATTAAATAATTTACTTTCAAATTTTGCCTCTTAATTTCATCCACAATTACAACAATTAAATTTTAATTATGTGAAAATTTTTAAATATTCAATATAATACTTTTACACACTAATATTTTGCTCCCCTGTAAACAGAGTCAAAAATGTACAAATCACGTTTTATCCACATTAACATTTTTTCCGTCTCTACAATTTGTGACTTCACAAACTAGACCTAATAAATTAGTCTAAATTTTCAAATTATCAACTGTTTCAACTACTCTCCGATTTATTCCAATTATTATAAATCTTCAAGCGCGCTTAATTTTGTGCCTGACTGTATGTCGTTACTCGCGCATCGCTTCCATTGTAGCACGCAAACAATACTGGCCATATCACGTCTGCACCACGGATGCTATTAGGACAATTGCACAAACAGAGTCTTAACATTTTGCTCATTCCTGATGCATTACATTGGACTACATGCAAACCAGGATCATACGTCATAGCGGGGCATATTCTGCAATGTATGAAACGAAGATAAGAAAACAAAGCTTAAATTAACCAGGAATGAAACTGTCCACACATATTACATTTAACTAGCTGCTATATATATGTATACTTGACAAATATTCGTTGATTTATTTAAAAACTACATTATACATGAAAAACTTCATCCCCTTTTGTTTTGTAAAATCTGCAAATGTATTATAATAATAATTACTGTTGATATAATGAGATCTACTATATCCATAAAAATATCTATATTTTTAAATTTTTAGATGAAACTTGTAATTTTCACCTAAAATTCTGAACTCAGAATAAAGAACAAAGTAGTAACTTTCTCTAATAGTTTCATTTTCGAATCAAAACCAACTGTCACCTCCCTTGGCAGCGCATCAAGCTAAGTTCCTCTGATTTGCATATTTCACTTGTTTAAATATCTTGTTCCTACCGGAATATTGATCTTCCGAGTAATTGAAACGCCCGGAAACTTGGTGGTAGGTAATTAGGTGGCATTGATGCAGTCAGTTCTATGGAAATAAAGCGTCGGCTCGTTGATGCTATTTCCCTTCCGTAACTTTTATATTTTCACCCATACCTCCACTATTTTGCTTTTATCTCTATTTCTTCTTTACTTGTTCTCCTTATTTATATTTATGACTTTCATCAGGTTCAATTAGCCGTTTTTACGTTCTGCCGCTCGCAAACTTCGTCTTATCATTAGAATCTATGATACCGTACTCTTGGTCTGTTCAACTACCTCTCTTTTATCTCTTTGCCTTTTGTAACGTTCTATCGGACTTTGCAAAGAAATTTTTCTCCATTTCCTCCGAGTCTTTTTTCCGATTTACGTTTACGTTTCTTTTTAGCTTTCTTGTTCTCGTTTTACTCCTCGAGGTACGTTAATTTGTTAATTGAATGTCTTCGAATGCAGCTTACTGTCTGTAAAAACGTTTCCGCCTTTGACTATTAATAGTTTTAGAATTAAACGAAAGTATATTGTGTTGTAAATTTGAAATAGTATATTTATAATTTGTGCACATACTCTAAGGGTGGTTTAGGTAACACATTAAATTAATTTAAGAAAGGGAGGAAAAAGTATGTCGATAAAACTTGAGGTATGAATTATTAGTAATATTTAGTATTAAAAATTAGTACTCAGTATTAAACACTTATCTCTATTTCCAGGATGTATTTTAGAGGTTATGTTATACACGAGCGTTCATTTTGTTTTGAGGTTAGATCTTACATTCTTAAAAGGCGATTTCATACAAATTATAAATACACATCTACTATTATTCCTGTCATGAATCTATAATCCATTATCCACAATCTATAACCTATAATCTTGAATCTACAATTTATAATTGACTCCATAATTCCATAAAATTTAAATTAGCTGGTAAATTTAGTTTCACAGTATTCTCTTGTCTCACATCTCTGGACATAAAAATCATTAAATGAATTATAAGTAAAAAAATATAAATAAAATACTATACAGTTACAAGAAACTCCCCAAAATAAATAAAGAAACCAAATATTCAGCAAAATGTAAGTGCCTGAAATTCTCCGCTGAAAATAAATGTACTGATGGCTGCTAATTACCGGTCCACGTTGAACGTTAAATGAATAAATAAAATAAACCTGCAATAAACTGCTTTAGTAGCAGTTTTCACTGGTGATTAATACAAGACCGTGCACATCGCGATTATCCTTCGGAGCGTGTATTTTACAAGAGCCTTCCATTTTCTTCTTTTCTTCTGTTCAAAATGAATCGTGCCGTTTGTTCTTCTGATTGTATAACCTTCTTCATTATTGAATTTATTCCCCCGCGTTTGAAATTAAAGCACCGGAACATTGTAAAATGCACATCTACAGGTACGTAAATGTGGTGTAAAATAAAGTTTTGAATGGTAATGTCAAAAACATTTGTTTGGTCAAAATTGAATAGTGTTATTAAGGATCCACTTGTGTACCACTATACAATGTTCATATCGTATCCAAGCGTCAAAACGGTAATTTACGAGTGCCATTTAAAACCGTAGCATGGATTGCGAGTGTTTACAGAGAGGTATATTTTATTTGTTAAATGTTTAAATTGAAAGTAAGAATATAGGTGAATAATGTGTGTATAGTACTAATAAGATAAGAAATTTTTTATAATTGGTTGTTATAAATTGTAGAAGTTTACTGAATTTTATGAAGTATATTTTACACTTAATATGTATAATATTATTGTGATATTTTGCTATAATATTATGTATTATTATAGTATATATATTATTACTATTATTGTATTGCTGTAACATACGTTAATACATATGTCATATGTTTTATTATAATGCATACATCATTATATCATAATATGTGTATTGTTGTAGTATACATATTATTATATTACAGTATATGTATACATAATTAGGATTATAAATATTCTCCAAAAGAAGAAAACATTACAAAATAAACGTAAGTTCCTTCTGAATATAATAAAATATTTTCATAGGTGAAATTTTACGCACCCCCTAAAGAGAATACCATTGTCTCTAAATGAGAACACGAACGAAATTTTCGGAGTTGTCAGAGCATTTTGCTATTAAAACGATGTTAATCTCTTTTACAACAATATCCGCGTAGATTGAAGGACAACTCAATTAGCCAGGATCGTTAGAATCCCTGCGCCGGATTGCGACGAGACGTTAACCGGACTGACATTTAGCAATTATGTTGATAATAACATAAACTTGCTATTATAGATTCATTCTGCTCATAAAGGTTGATATTGTACACGTGCATCATCATGAAACGCGATCAGTTTTTTGAAATCGATAACAGAGATGAATTTGGACAATTTTTTGTGATTAGAATTATAGTTCTTTACTTAAGTTAAGTTTAACGTTATAGATGTTAAAGAAAGAACATTGTTTTTTTAAGGCAATAGAAGTGTTTTGTTAGTTTAATATTGTTTGAGAATTTTTTAATAGAATTGTAAACTTGAATT